CTCCGGGTATGTTTCCTTAGTTAGATCAGATTAATCCACTTACTTAGATCCATTTAACCCACTTGATTAGATTTTTTTTATCATTATATCAAAGTCAACTTATACCCACCCCCTCTATGTATACCCCTTTAAAATGGTGTAATCACAATACAGTTCTCATCATCCTATAGGGATATAAACAGTTTGCCCTTATTGACATGTTTTTTTCTGTCCCATTTACCTTTTTATGTCTTTCTTGAGTGTTGTGTTTAAAGATCAGATTTTCTGCTGAGCTCTGGTCTTTTTATCAGGAAGGTTTGGAAGTCCCCTATTTCACTGAATGTCCATCTCCTTCAGTGGAGGTCTTGAAGCAGCCTGGATGGCCATCTGTTGGTGTGGGAAATCCCTTTCATTTGGATTGCCCACAGTGACTGATGAGGTGGCCTTCTGTGGAAACAGTGTGATTAGTAGTAGTGCTGGGGCCCCCCATCCCCAGAGCTCTGGTCTCAGTCCTCAGTAGGTGGCCTATTGATAGGCCTACGCCTGGACCCCCTCTGATGGCAGTACTCTGTGTGGAATTTCATCAAGCGTACAAGGGCAGATTGCAAGCATTGTTTTCATCCTTTTATTTCTTTCTCCACTTCACATTTTTTCTTTAAATGAAGTTGAAAGTGGTAGTTCTTTCTGCAGCTATCCGACAATCTCAATATGTCCAACTTTTATTTTAAAGAAAAGTAACTAGATCATCCTGTGATAAATGAGATAATAATGCAAAATAAAGGATTTTCACTCCTCAGATGAGCCATTGCAAATCTTTTCAGATCACCTCTCCCACATTTTCCATCAAACTATCTCAAAATAGAGACCATTCCATCACATGCTCCTTTCTTCCCCAGTTGACGTTTGAAATTACCTCAACATCTTGTACCATTCTCCTCATTTGCTCCAGGAGCAGAGCATCAGGTAGCCCTTTTTGCCAGCTCAGCCATTCTGTTTGTGTACTTAGTCACGTCCCCTCCTGTTTCCTACAAGAGTTTGCCCCTTTGGTCAGTTTTCTCTAATTTCCACCCTTTTCTTAGTCACCAGGTCCTTACCTGCGGCATACAAACATACTCAGATTTCTCAGCATTTATAAAGCAACTACCATGTGCCAGGCCCTGTGCTGAGCAGTAGGGATACAGAGAAAGACAAAAGACAGTCCCTGCCCTCCAGAAGTTCCCAGTCTAATGAAAGAGACAGACGGGATAAATTGAGAGTAATAGCCAAGGGAGGGCGCTAAGATTGCTTACCTTGACCTGATTCTACCATCCCTTCCCTCAAGCCATCATCATCTCCCTTTTCACAGTCAGACTCTGAAATCTCTCTGGCTTCTAATTTTGAACGGTTCTCTCTAAGGTCTTTATTATTAAGTTAGGTGGCCTTTTCTCAGCCGATTGGCTTTTAGACCTGGCCTGCTGACCATGCCACCCTCCCGTTCCAAAGATTCCATTCTTAGACTTTTGTGATACCAGTCACTCTGGGCTCTTGTCATTTCATTTGTGCCGGAAGCTTCTTGATATGGAAATGTCATTGATTTGGGTAGGTAGCTTAGGAAAGGCAAGTCTAAGGGCACTGATAGGACTGGCTCATGGCTGTATGGGTAGTTTGTGTTAGGCACTGCTTGAATGAATCCAGCCTGCAAAGTCTGGCTTCCTTCCTCTCCGTCTGTGTCACATCACATACGTTTAAGCCTTCACATGTACCCCACATGGACATTCATTATTTATAACATTTAATCTTCTTACTAATAACTTTAGCTACATCTTACCTCTTAATTCTTGCTTTTCGTGTTGCAGAGCATTTTGAAATCTAAACAATTAATTCTGTATCCTGCTGTGTGGAAGATTTAAGTGACCACAAACTCTAAATCACTGTTATAAGTGTCATAGAACAAGAAGATGAATAAGCTGGGCAGTTTCCCAGCCATTCAGTAGAGATATGTCAAACCACCAGTATTCGAAGACAAATTTTTAAAAATATATCAGAATCAAAAATAGGGGCAGCCAGGTGGTGCAGTAGATGGAGCACCAGCCCTGGAGTCAGGGGGACCTGAGTTCAAATCAGTCTTCGGACACTTACCAGCTGTGTGACCCTGGACAAGTCAACCCCGGCTGCCCCCCTCCTCAAATAAACATTGTTGAATTACTCACTCTTTTGGATCACATAATTCTCAGACCCCTTGTATTCATCTAAACAATGGAGTGTATAGTAGTATTGTGTTTTTTTTTTTAAACCTTTCCAGTGTTCAGAAGAAAAGTTAATGTATTGTTTTTGAGGAGTTTTTTAAGGTTGAGAAAGTTGACCTTGGTAGAAGGGCTAAAACACATTTATGGTGGTGGGTTGTTTTATTTCATTCTGGTGCTTAGGTTTTTAAGTTTCTAGAAAACAAAGATAAACTTTGTATTTATTTAGATACAAGGCAAGACTCAGCTAATACTCTTATCTGTGTTTTTTTTTTCCCTCTTGCCTATTTTTTTTTAAGAACTTGTTTTGTGATCAGTATATATGATTATTTCCCCTAATTTAAGCATGTTTGCTCATTTCTACACCAAGCTAATATTAAATGTCCACAAGGGGAAAACCACCAGTATAATCTTAGTCAAAATAGCAGATTGAAAAATGAGATTAAGCGGGTTTTGATAATGTTTATTTTTTATTCTCAGTCTAAGGCTTTTAGTCAGTTAAATTAAAATGACCATTATTTTCAGTGATTATAAGAATTTTTTACATCTTTGGAGAAACAGTTGCTCAAAGAAAGCAAAGAATTAAATGTATTCTTAAATGATAATGGTAGAGTGTGAGGGACTGTCTGATGTTGGCAGCCCCACGTTGGGCGCCACTTGTACTGACCGCACGCCGACCTTCTGCCAGCCATGTGCCAGTACCTACTTCTCTTATAAGAAGCACACTACCAGAGTCTTACCCACACCTGGGTCTTCGGTTCTGAGCCGGATCACCACACAGAGACGAGCCATCGGGAGGCGCCAACACCAGAGCTTTATTCAGAGGCCAACACAGCAAACCGTCATAGCAAGCCCAAGCAGCAAGGCCAGAGCAACAGGGCAGGAGCCAGGGGAGAGCGCACGTGTGATCTGACCAGCTTGTTCCTAAGTACCCTACTTAGCCCCTCCTCCCCAGCCCGCTACTAGCCAATGATTTGTAGGGTCAGATACCGGAAGGGGCTGTCTGAGTTTAGCACACCAAGGGGGAGGGAGTGACGTAGGAGGCTAGGATTGGATACAGGAAGGAGGCATCTGGGATTGACGCATAGACAAGAGTACGTGACCTAGGAAGTCAGACTCAGGAGGGAACTGGGTCAGTGCTGCACAAAGGGACCCAGGAAGTCAGGAAAGTCACAAGAGGCATCTGGGGATGACGTTGCATATAGGGAGGGGACTAAGCAGAGGGAACTCAGTCCTCTGCCATCCCACTCCCACGTGGCACCGCCCCTTGCCTCAGGAGCTCAGGCTCCGACTACTTCCTTGTACCCAGCTTATCTCACAAAGCATTGCCCAATTGCCTCAGGGCTTCTCCGTATCCAGCCCATCCCAGTACACACGACTCTGCCTACCACAGCCCCTGCCTCGACTTCCAAAATACCCAGATCCTACCCTACCCTTGCCACAGCGCCCAACCTGGTAGCTGCCAACATCAGACAGTCCCTCACAGTAGAGGGTGAATACTATAATATAATACTATAATATTCTTTTGAGGAATTAATGAACAATTGATAGATAACTCTTATTTCTCGAATTGAAGTCAACAAGAATTCAATTCAATTCCTATATTCCAGGTAGTGTAATAAGTCTTGGGAATACCAAGAAAAGCAAAATGACAGTCCTGGTCCCTTGAGGAGAGGACATTGAAGGAGAGAGACAACATGTCGACAGCTAGGATTATCTCTAGCGTATGTGGGAAGCCCTCTGAAGGGGAAGACTAACATGTTGGGGCCCCTAAAAAGGCTGCCTGGAGGATGAGATTTGAGTGTATCACGAAAGAAATCAGAGAAATCACAGGTAGAAGTGAGGGAGTACATATTTGCCCTTAATACTTGGACATTTAATGACTGAGCTGTTAGGAGGCATATCCAATCATTAACAATAGTCTTAACTTTAAAAATAGGTTTTTTTTATTTTAAAATGTTTATTGCTTTCTTTTGTTTTTATATCACTTTTATTTCCAAATATATCCCCCCGTTTCCCCGGCCCCCACTCCACTTACCCTTGTGAAAAAGAATAAGAAACGGAGGGGGAAAAGCACCAACCCAGTCTGACACTATGCACTGTTCCATAACTGTGCTCCTCCATCTCTGCCCATGAGGGCAGAGGTCTTCTTTTCTTCTTTGGGCTGAGACTTGGTTATAGTTACATGGCATTCAGCTTCAAGTTTTGTTTTTTGGTTTTGTTTTGTTTTGTTTTTTAATTAAATTTTTATGTTGTTGTAGTCGTTGCATATGTTCTTTTCCTGGATCTGTTTACTGTTTTCTGCATTGGTTCGTGTAATTGTTCCCTTGTTTCTTTGAGGTCTTCATATTGGTCTCTTACAGCACAGTGATATCCTGTTCCTGTTCATGTTTATGTAGTCATTCCCGAGATAGGGGGTACCTCCCTTTGCTACTATAGACAGTTTGCTATAAATATTTTCATGTGTATGGAGCCCTTCTTTGTAATTTTTGCCTCTTTGGGGTATATGCTTAGTAGTAGTAGAGTGTCTGGGTCGGAGAGTATGGACCTAAATGTTTTCTTAGAAGAGGGAAATGTTGATTTAAGGAGACCTTAAGATTGAATATTGAATGAAAAATAAATCTGAACCGTTAAATAAAAAAAGTTATTGATGGTTATGGAACCACTGAAAGACTAGACTCTTTTTGGTAGAATTCTATCTTACATAATATCAAATGTATTACTTTAGTTGCTGAGATAAAAGGAAGCTTCAAAATAATTTAGCACCATACTGAAGTATTTTATATTTGAATGTTACAGAAGACAATTCTTCAAAACAAAGTGATGATTTGGGAGGCCAATTTACAGAAATTTTCATTAAACAGCAAGAGAATGTCACACTTCTTTTATCTCTCTTGGAGGTGAGTAGAACACCTTATATATTTTGGTTTCGTGAATTGAGAAGCAAAGTCATTTGGTACACTTTTTCATTGTCTGTCATGCCACTAAACATGATGTAGTTCTTCTGCTTGTCTCTCTTGTCTGTCAGTTTTTATTATTGCGTTTGGAATCATTGTTGCTAGTCATGCTTCTGGCACTCTCTGTGTGATCGTGGTCAAGCATTTAACCTTCCTTGAACCTCAGTTTCTTCATCTGTAAAAATGAGGGGGTTGGACTAGATGGTCACCACGGCCCCCCCAACCATAGCTATAATCTTCTTGTCTTAATCTTGATCCATCCTTTCACTTCCAAATATTTTCATTGTGTTTCTTGATAACAGCAAATTGTAATATTTTGTTTTCTTATCCATTCTTCCTTCTTTGTCTTTTATTGGGAAATTGAATCCATTGACATTTAAAGTTACAATTGTTGCCGTTTGTGTCTTCAGTCAACTACTTTAATGAACATGTATGAGTATTAAGTTTACCTCCTCTCTGAGTCAGTGCTTTTGTTTTGCTTATACACGTCTAACTCTAACCCTGGTCTTCCCTGTCTCTTCTTGTTGCCTCTGATCCCAGGCTGTCTGAGTTTACGGTGCGGTGCCTTATTCTCTGACTCTTGTGTTTGTTTAACAATACTAATAACATCTGCCTTTTCTATAGCACGTACCATGTCCCATGCACTGTGCTAAGTGCTTTCCATGTTATTCCATTTGGTCCTCACCACAGGCCCAGGAGTTAGGTGATATTGTTATCCCCACTTTACAGTTGAGGAAACTGAGGCAAAAAGAGGTTAAGTGATTTGCTCAGGGTCTCACAGCTGGTGAGCGTCTGAAGCAGGATAGAGTACCGTACCCAATCATCCTGCCTTCCCCTGGCCACCCCATACCATCTCCATTCTTCCACTCCTTTTCTTATTCCTTACACCTAGTTTTCTTTAGGATTTATTCCCAGACCTCATAGTTCTAGGTGGAGAAATCAAGGTACGGTGGGAAGTATTTCATAAACCTAGTCGCAGCATCCAGTCTTGTTCTTCTGACGTGTCCAGCCCCCTCCACAGAGCTGGCCATCGTGAGGGGCCGTGCTGTCGCCCCCTCTGCTGGCTCAGTTCTCCCTCTGTGGTCTGCCTCTCAGTGTTCTCTCCTGTTTTCTTAAACCCCAGAGTCAGAGGAGAAACTGGAGCTACTTGTTCACCCCCTGGCATTATCTGGGATTCCCATTTCACTGCTTTCTCTCCCCATCTGAGAAGTGTTCCTCTGCACTGTCGCAGTCCTATAATGTTGAATTATTAAGGAGATTTCTCTCCCTGCAATACTCCTCACTTATCTCTTCTCTGCTATTGACTGTTCCTTTTACTCCTTAAAAAACAAAAAAATCAAAAACCAAAATTTACCCATCAGTTTTGTGGTTTCATCTGCAGCTAATTTTGTTTGTTTGTCATGTCCCAAATAACAGAATTAAAAACAAAAACAACCTTCAGGTTCTTTAGCCTGTTGATGTTCTTTCCTACTGTCTTTCATTGTGAGGGAGAACAACCAGTTGTGTTAAATGATGCAGAAAATATAGTTTTACTTTGAAATAAAGATTTTTATCCTACTGTCTCTATTTTCTTTGCTTTATGGATTTTTAAAAAATACACTTTGTCAGTTGACACAGTTTGATCCTTTGAGGTATTCATAAATTCTCTTCCCTCTAGTATTAAAATAGAAAATCAAATAACAAATAGAAATATTCTCCTCCTTGGTCTCACATACATTCAAGTCTCTGTCTTTCCCTAGCCAAATCAAACAAATATTTTGTTCCTTAGTTTTACATTATTATTTGAAAATAATAACTTTTTTTGATTTGATCAGTGTGCAAGATGAATACCTTGCTGAACAGAATAGGATAAAGTCACAAAACCATGCCGATTGTATCCATAATCTCATCTGACTGACCTTCAGGGCCACAGTGCACTTCCCCAAACAGTTCATTATTCCTCTCAACCCAGCAGCTGTTCCTTACCTTTTTAATCCTTCCTCCAGTCTCCCATTTACCTTCCCTCCATCCCCCAACTTTCTCTCTCATACTTCCCCAAAACACTGAAACTCCCTTCTCTCCCTCCCTCCTCCCCTGACAGCACTCAGACATCTTCCCTCATCATCTCCTCTCTCACCCCTGTCTTGCATGACGATGTGGCCCTCCTCGCTCAGGCTGACACCTCTTTAGACGCCCTTGATACCATCTGTTCCAATAGATTATCTTCACCATCATCCCTACTCTCTCCCCAGCAGACTATTCCCCTACTGCCTACAGATGTGCCTGCATATCCCCCATCTTCAGAAAGGCCTCTCCTGATCTATCCTTCCCTGTTGGCTCTCATTCTAATTCCTTGTTGGCTTCTCATTTCTTCTTTCACATCCTAATGCTGAAGTCTGGCTTCTAACCTCATCACTCAGTGGAAACCGCTTTCTCTAGAGTTATCATCGATCTCTTAATTGTTTCACAAGTGAAATTCAACAAAAGGCAGACCAAGACACGTTTCTCTGAGCAGTTAGCAGGGGCACTACTTGTTAATAAAGCAGGTCTAATGGCTTGGCTCAGTTTAGCCAAAGGCAAAGAATTAAAGATTCGGCTTCTTTTTCTAAGTATAGACAAAGAACAGAACAGAGGAAATCATACCATTGGTGATGGGCTTGGCAACATGATGGGTGTGAGGAATCATGATTGGTAACATTAAGGGAAGGGGCGCACACACACACACACACACACACACACACACACACACACACACACACACTCACACGATTAGGACCACCCGATTTATGGGACATAGCTGCGTCTCCAGGCCGTTGATAGTGGACCAGGGGATAGCAGACTCACTGATGCCTGGGAGTGAGATTAGACCACTTTTAATTGGGCAAGGATGAGACAAAGATGGGGCAAGGTCAGCTTGTCCGCTTTCAGGGATAGCACAGATGACATGGCATTTCTCAGGAGCTGAAGTTATGAAGAATGACAAGCTTCCTTGGCACAAAGTGATTTGCAGCTGGTGCCAGGATAACAGTTCCCATAGAGTTAAAGTGTTTTATCAGAGTTCTGAACTTCTAAACTAAGCTCAGAGTTTTTGTTTAACTAAAAGTAATGAATAGGGCAAATAAACTTTGGCATCTAACTGGAGAAAGAAGACTGACCTTTTGAACTCATGAGCTTCTACACTCAGAGACAAAGAATACAGAATGTGGTTACAGAATTGAATCAATTACAGAATGAAACAAACACACAAAATACAGGATCGATATTTAATTATCACAGTTTCCACATCTGATGGCCTTTTCTCATTCCCTATCCTTCTTGACTTAGAGAGATCAAGCCTTTGACACTGTCTATCACGTTTCTTTGTGTATGTTCTCTCCGCATTAGGTTTTTGTAATACTTAGGTTGTTATTCAGTCGTTTCAGTCGTGTCGGACTCTTCATGACCCCATTTGGGGATGAGGAAACTGAAGCAGACAGGGTTAAATGACTTGCCCAGGGTCACACGGCTAGGGCTAGTAAGTGTCTGAGACCAGATTTGAACCCAGGAAGATGAGTCGTCTGACTTAAGGCGTGGCACTCTATGCCCTGCTCCACTGATTCTTCTGTTATAAATTCAGCCATATTCTCTCTCCTGAGCTCCAGTCCCACATCACCAACTGTCCTTTGGACATTTTAAGTTGGATGCCTCTCCCCAAATCTTCATCTCTTTCCAATTTCCATATTGTTCTTGAGGGCACCACAGTCTTCCCAGTTACCCAAGTGTGTGATCTCTTTGTCATCCTTGACTTCTTACTTTTACTTATTCCATGTATCCAATCCAGGGCTTTATTTTATCTTTTCTACCTTCACAGCATCTATTGTATATATCTGCTTCTCTTCATTCGCACAAACCATCACCCGAGGATAGGCTTTCATCATTTTATCTCTCCTGGACTGTTACTGTAGCCTCTTGGTCGGTATCCCCGCTGTCTCTCCTCACTCAAATCTATCCTCCACTCAGCTGCCAGTTATTTTCCTAAAGCCTCAAATACTCCAGTGACTTCTCCCTGTTCCTCGAAGATCAGATAAGAAATCTTTGTTTGGCCTATTAAACCTTTGCTATCTTTCTAGTATTCTGGCCCTTGCTCATCTCCACATACTCGGTGACTCAGCTGCCCTGGCTGACTTGCAGTCTTCCGCCTACCATGCATGTGAACTAACTGGATCTCCATAGACTCGATGCCTAGAATTTCTTACCATTCAGTTACTAGCTTTTCTGGCTTTCTTCAAGACTCAGCTCAGAGCTGATCTTCTGTGGGCGATCTCCCCTCCAGCCCCCTTTTCCTCCCTGCTAGTAAATTTCCTCTGACGTTAATTTTTTTTTTTAAGTGAGGCATTTGGGGTTAAGTGACTTGCCCAGAGTCACACAGCTAGTGAGTTGTTTTTTTTTTTTTTAATGTGTCTGAGAATGAATTTGAACTCGGGTCTTCCTGACTCCATAGCCAGTGCTCTCTCCTCTGCGTCACATAGCTGCCCGTTACCTTCTTTTTATGCCGTTTGGATCGTATTTGTACATAATCATTTGTGTGTTATCTCCTCCAGCAGACTGTGAGTTCCTTTAGAGCAGGAACCATGTGTTTGCTTTTTTTTTTTGTATACCCAGCACTTAGCATGTAGTGGTTAATAAAGCATCATTGACTTTCTGATTCATTTGGGGGTTCTTTGGAAGGAATCCTTTAAATTCTTCTCGTTTCCTGAACATCTTAATTTTTTAAAAAATATTTGGGCTCAGCGTTTCAAGCTGTGGTATGGGAAGTAAAATGCATAATTTTGATTACATGAAATTAAAAAGCTTTTGCATAAACAAAACGAGTGTGGCCAAAATTAGAAGGAAAGCAGGAACTAAAGAGGAAATTTTACAAGTTTCTTTGATAGAGGTCCTATTTCTCAAATATATAGGGAACTGAGCCAAATTTATAAAAATAAGAGCCAATCCCTAATTAATAAATGGTCAAAGGACATGAACAGGCAGTTTTTAGAAAAAAATCTAAGCTATCAGTTGTTGTGAAAAAGTGCTCTAGATCACTACTGATTAGAGAAATGGAAATTAAAGCATTTCTGAAGTACCATGGTCATACTCATCAGATTTCAGCTAACATGACAAAAAAGGAAAATGACAGATGCTAGAGAGGATGTGGAAAAACAGAGACATTAATGTGCTGTTGGTCAAGTTGTAAACTAGTTCACCCATTCTGGAGAACAATTTGGAACTATGCCCAAAGAGCCATAAACTGGGTATGCCCTTTGACCCAGCAATATCAGTACTGGGTCTATATCCCAAAGAGATCAAAGTTAAAACAAAAGGACCTGTACGTACAGAAATTTTTACAGCAGTTCTTTCTGTGGTGACAAAGAATTGGAAATTGAGGGGATGCCCATCAACTGGGAAATGATAGAACAAGTTGTGATATATAATTGTGATGGAATACTATTGTACCATAAGAAATAATAAGGGGTGATGGTTTCAGAAAATCATGAAAGATACATGTGAACTGATGCAAAGTGAAGTGAGTAGAACCAGAGCATTGTACACAGTAACAGCAACATTGTAAGGATGATCAACAAAGTTTTTCACAGACTTAGCTATTCTGATCAGTGCAGTGATCCATGACTATTCCAAGACTCATGATGAAGAATGCTACCTACCTCCATAGAGGAAACTGATGAACTCTAGGTACAGATTGAAGCCTCATTTTTTCACTTCATTGTTTTTCTTGGCTTACATATTTTTTGCAACATGGCTCATATGGACGTAGGTTTCACATGACTTCACATGTATAATTGATGCATTATTTGTCTTTGAAATAGGTGAGCTAAGGGCTGGAAGGAGGGAGAGAATTTGGAATTCAAAGAAGAATGCCATAAGTAAATGAAGGCTTTTAGAAGGCAAAAAAAAAAAAAAAAGAATTTGTTGGGACTTCATCTTCCTCAGGGGATTTAAATTTGTTTTCTTTTGTGAGAAAGTCTTTAAAGGACTTTTCCACTGTGATGGATCTTTTCTTTAAATGCTTCTTCACATCGTTTCTGTAGTAAGCTTTTGTCTCACTGCTGATTTTTCTTTTAAAAAGTGTGTTGATATCTTTTATATCATCTCCATTTCCCATGTCCCTACTCTCTGACTCATAAAGCCATCCCTTAATAACAGAATAAAAAAAGGACTACTGTTTGGGCAGGAAAATGAAGCAGTTGAGCAGAACTAATCAACACACCAGCCAAGAGTATATGTGGTATTCCATGGCTGTAGTTTGCCACCTTGGCAAAGAAGAAGGAATTGTGTTTAAATACTAATCTTTCTGGTCATTGTAATTAATTACATGCAGCACTTTCAATTTGTCCTTATTCGTTCCATTTTCTTTGTTGGCATACATTTTGTTATTCTTGTTTTGTTTTGTTTTGTTTTTAAAGCAAGACAGAATGATTTGCTTTTTTTAAGGGTTAAAAATAAACATGATTAATACTTTCTGGATATTGACTCACTAACCTTTATTAAATTTTTTACCTGAAATAAATACAGAATAAAACTAATATTTTTTGTATACAAAGATGAGTAGATAATGAGGCTTGTACGTGAAACCATAAATAGTTTGAATTTCCTTTTAACTACAGTAAATTCAGTGTTACTTTCAAAGCTATCCTACTCCTGTTTCCTTCCAAGATTACTGCTGTTCACCTCTGTGCATTTTTTCTTGGTTCTTCCTATTCAGCTTTGCATCAGTTCATATGAATTGTTTCTCTGTTGTCTTTGTATTCCTAGTTTCTTATAGGACAATAGTATTCCATTACATAGAGTACCGCAGTAAGTTTAACCTTTCCTCAATTAATGGGTGTGTGCTTTGTTTCTGATTCTTTGCTACTACAAAAAAAAAATGCCGTTTATTTATTTATTTGTTTATTTATTTATTTTTGTTGTGTATTTGACCATTGTTTTTGTTTGACTTCCTTGTGATGATCACTTGGGAGTTCAGAAAGAGTATGGACATCTTTATCACTCTCTTAGCATACTGGCTTTCCAGAATGGACAGACCAGTTCATACTTGCTGGTTTTTCTCTTGTGTTTCTACTGAAAATACACTTGTTAACAGTTTCTCCCCTTCAGAAAATCTGACACTTGGTGGTGTACCTCCCACAGCACTTGCTGCCTATTCAGTCAGTGGCCAGTGAGGACATTGTTTGCAGGGAGACTGGTCTGTTGATCACCTTTACTAGTCTCCTTACTAGTCTACTATCTGCAGACCCTCAGGTCACTTACCGGAAGGACCCCTCCCTACTACACTGTTAATTGAGAATGCTTTGCACAGGAGTTTCTTTTCCTGTTTTCCTTTTGGCTGTTGATTGTTTAATAATTTGTAATTAGCAGTACTTTTTGGTCTTTTGCCTCCTGCATGGATGCCACCCTCATCCACAGCTATCCCTTTTCCTTTTTCTTAAGACTCAGAGTAGTCTTGATTGATTCCTGAGCTTCAAGTTGACATGATTCATGGCAGGGTTCTCCCTACCCTTTCCTGGATTTAGCTCCGGAAGTCAGGAGCCAGCTATAGCAATCACCTGGTTTACCAGACAGCCTGATAGACTGGGGGAGCTCGGTAAAAACCTGGAAGCAATGGGGTGCCTTAAAGTTGGGGAACCTGAAAAGAAAACATGCCCCAGAGTGCAACAGAATACTCCCACTCTTCTTATTGTCAGTGAGCTCTCTGAATTGAGGTTTTTTTTCTTTTTTTTCTTTTTTTTTTTTTTTTTTTTTAGGCAATTGGGGTTAAGTGACTTGCCCAAGGTCACACAGCTAGTAAGTGTCAAGTGTTTGGTCTGAAGCCAGATTTGAACTCAGGTCCTCCTGACTTTAGGGCTGGTGCTGTATCCACTGCGCCACTTAGCTGCCCCCAGGTTTTGTTTTCTTACACTTCTTATTTCCATCTTATTCTGCCGTCTTCCCAGAATTTTGGTATCTTGAAGAACAGTACTTTGTTACTAGTGATAGGGAAGACTTTTCACTCATTACTCCCTCTGTGAAATAATTTGGCAGAGATCAAGGAGGAGAATCGGGTAAAGGAAAGATCAAATGGGGAAATAGGACTGTGGAAGACTCTGGCTCCTCTCCCTATTCCCTATCCAAGAACTCCACTCTGGATGCTGGAAATGAAAGTTTTCCTCAATAAATTATCAGAGATTACAGCCTACTTTGGAAAAGGAAGTAAAGCATCGAGAGAAGAAATGTTGATGTATTAGATTTTGTGAAATGTTTTCTGTGTAAATTTAAGCATTAGAGGAAAGGAAATTAATTAGCCAATTAATTTCAATTAATGTTCTGTGTCCCTTTACCAATTTCCATTGTTTCTCAAATTAGTTTTTAAAAATTTGTTTAACGACACTTTAAGTACTATAAATTTATATACCATGATCACTTTGAAACATTTTTTCTTGTCTAAAAGTATATATAAATACTTGACATTCATTGCAGGAGTTTGATTTCCATGTTCGCTGGCCTGGGGTGAAGCTTCTTACCACACTTTTAAAACAGCAGGGGCCACAAGTGCAGCAGATTATTCTCGTCAGTCCTATGGGTAAGATTACAACTTGGCATAATTTCAGATTATAAAAATTTTTGAAAATGGAACTGTAAGGGTGGGTTTACTCTTGACACTCCGATTCACTTTTTAAGATGTATTTATTGGACTGCAAATGTTCACATCATGCGATTTGCTTATTCTAGGTGTTTCAAGATTAATGGATTTGCTCGCCGATTCCAGGGAAGTTATACGTAATGATGTAAGTAAACAGGGACCCAAGAGACTGAGGTTGTTCTGTTTTCACTTTAAATGTTTTCTTCTTGACATCATTTAAAAAACAACAGAAGCTTGAAACTGCTTCAGTCCTTGATTTGTAATATATGAATTTGATAAAAGAAAATGATCATCTGGTTTTGCTTCTTAGTTCCATAAAGGACTATATAGGACAGCATTGTTTCTTTGGTTCCTTTTATACAGATCATTATTTTAATCAAAATATTTGTTGCCATATAGTTTTGTATAGCATTTCAGCTCCTCTCTGAGAACTAGTGCCAGCTTAGTGTTGTGCCATTCCTTTCTCCACAAATAATAGAAGAAGGCTCTTTAGACACTGAACTGTGTGAGCTAATGTCAGTTTAGATTTAGAGAGCCCTTAGGGTTATACAGATTTTGGTATGCCCTATGCCTAGGCCACTGAAATATATAATGTTGAACTTATTTATTAAGACTGAGTATTTTACCGATTTATTTTTGAAAAATTACAGAGGATAATTTGCTTAAAAGAATAATCACTTTCTATTATACCTTTGAAGATTTGCATATAAGATTTGCTGTCTTTTACTGTATACATTAAGGTAAAGGCTCTGGCATGGTTTTCCTTGTCATCATTTGGTATCGCAAGATAATGTTCATGTTCTTGTGTGTGTGTGTGTGTGTGTGTGTGTGTGTGTGAGAGAGAGAGAGAGAGAGAATTAGAGGGAGAGAGAAAATTTTAAAAACCTCAAGGGACTTTAGACCATCTGGTCCCCACCTGTTTATTTTACAGATGAGGAAACTGAGGTCTCGAGAGAGTAAATGATTCAGCTAGTTAATGACCACACAGGGGTTGTGACAGATTTTCAGGGTTGACCTAAGGGATTTCAGTGGCCACCTACAACTTACTGGACAGTGGCCTCTGTTTAAAGTGAAGGGCATCTTCATAAAGCCTGAGGCAGCCCATTCTTCTTTTCAGTATTACTGTTACATCAGGCTTAAATTGTGTTATTTGCAGCTTTCACCCCTTGCTTCTGTCTCTGCCCCTGTGACTAAGGAAGACTTACTTGGTACCTCTTCTGTGTGAAAACCCTTAGAATACTGAAAGACAGTTATGTTGTCACTAATTTTTCTCCTCTTCAGCTCAAACAGTTCCAGTTCCTTCCCTTGCTAGGGTATGAACTTGAGCCTCTTCACACTTCCTCTGGTACTGTTCCAGCTTATTAATGTCCCTCCCAGACTGTGGTGAAGACAGCAGTCCAGCTGTGGACTGACCAGGGTCAAGTGTGGTGAGCCTGGCGCTTCCTGGTCCTTGAGTGTTACTTATTCCCTAAGAACAGCCCGTCGAAGCTGGCATTAATGAACTTGGCTGCCAGGAGTCCCTTGACTCATTGAGGTTGAAATCCACTAAAACTGTCACATCTCTTACAAATAAAATGCTATCTACTGCTTCTCCCAACTTTTACTTGTAAAGTTGATAAGTATAAGCCTTTATAAGGATCCCAAATAAATTTCGTGTCATTAGATGCAATCTGGTGGCCTAACCAGGGGTGGGAAGCCTGCGGCCTCAAGGCCACATGTGTCCTTCTAGGTCCTCAAGTGCAGCCTTTTGACTGAGTCCAAGTGTTACAGAACAAATCCTTTTATTAAGGGGATTTGTTCTGTGAGGTTTGGATTCAGTCAAAGGGCCATACTTGAGGACCTAGAGAGCCACATGTTTCCTACCCCTACTGTAGCCCATCATGATCTCTTTGAAGTCCTGTCATCTAGTTTATCATCTGCTCAAGCTTTGTCATCCACATGCTTTATGAGCCTGCAATCTATGCTTGTATCCAAGTCATTGATAAAAATGTTACACATATGCATAGGACCATACACAGATCACTGGATCACTCCCGACTTTCCACATTGATATTCAGACATTAACTCAGTCTCATGACTTTGCTTATCTAATAATCATGTGGGCAGCTCCTTAATTTTCATGTGTAAACTCTTTTCTGTTAACACATAGATATAGTTTCAAATACAATATGACTTTTTACGAAATTACTCTTTATCACCTAAGTAGCTGTATAAACTAAAAGAAAGTCTAATAATCTCTCTGTGCCTCAGTTACCTGGTCTGTTAAATGAGGACATTAGACTAAATGATTTCTGATACCCCTTCTAGCTGTAAAATTGTATGATGCCATGATTTGGAGTGGCTCTCATTTCCTGTGAATATTTTAAGCAACTAAACATTCTTTCTTTCCCCATTCCCTACTAGGGCGTCTTATTACTACAGGCATTGACAAGAAGTAATGCAGCAATCCAGAAAATAGTTGCTTTTGAAAATGCTTTTGAGAGGTTACTGGATATCATTACAGAGGAGGGGAACAGTGACGGAGGTATGGTATGAATGAGTTAATCTGAAGTCTTGTCACCTGAAATTTAGTACAAAATGGAAGGGGTTTTTGAAATATTGAAAATGAAAAAATAATAGCCATGGAAGATGAGTGCATATATTTTAAGTCATGCCAGAAGCCAGGTTCTGTGCCTCCTTTTTCTCTTTTAATGTAAAATGCTATCCACTGCAGAAAAGCGTGTTACCTGTTTCACTAGGGGCTGGTGGACAGAGGCTAGAAAAGTAAAAGGCAAAGAGGGGATATGTTAATAAATAGAGTGCACTGGATAATAACAGCAGCTAGGTAGCTTAGTGGGTAGAGTGCAGGGAGTCAGGAAGACCTGAGTTCAAATCTGGCCTCAGATGCTTACTAGCTGTGTGACCTTTGTCAAGTCACTTAATCCTAATCCACTGGAGAAGGAAATAGCATACTACTCCAGTATTTGCCAAGAAAACCCCATGGACAGTATTGGCAGAAGATCATGAAGAGTCAGACACAACTGAAGAACAAATATAATAGCTCCAAATGGGATAATGTCATAGTAGTTTAGCATTAGAAAAGAGACTCAGAGTAACTGAATATTATGACACGATTATTTGGCTAGTTATTGTTTTAGATATAACATTGAGAAAAAATATTCCATTTTGAGAGTGATGTACATTAAAAAGATGGAAATTTTTCTATCCCATTTTAGTTCCTAATAATATAGAAATTCCAATTGTATTCAGATCTGAAGCGTGGGTACCCTTTGCTTGCTGCTTTTTTGTCCTTTTAAGTTTGTTATGTGATGCCAGCCACCTCTTTCCCTTAGCTCCAAATGCAAGAGAAAAAACTTGGGGATTTTATTGTGACGTCACAGGTTTATTTTGGTAGAATTTAATAAATAGTAATAGATCCTATTGTATCTTGCTAGTACCTGCTTGGTATTTGGTTTCAAAAAGGAGATTGCTCATAGTTAGGGGAAATCAGGCAAAATTACAGGAAGAGGTGAAATTTGCCCTGAGCCTCCAAGGATCTATAGAATGGGAAGAGAAGAACATTCCAAACATGGGAGACCACATGATCAATGATCTGGAAGTAGCCAAGCGGAGGATGTGTCACGAGAATGATTAGTTCATTTTGGCTTAAACATGGGGTTCGTAAAGAGAATTAGTAGAGTTGGAATGTAGGTTGGAGCCCTATCATAAAATGCCTTCAATGCTGTCCGAAGATTTGATGCTTTAGCCAGTATGGGATTAGTAAGGGTTTAGAGTATTGGGGGGTTACATGATCAGACTCCGGCAGCACTGTGTACGTTTCATTGCTATGTGCAAGACTATGGCAGTAATCCAGGGTGGAGATAATGAGGGCCCGAACCAGAGCTGTGGCTGTAGGAATGGCAAGTGGGTATTGTTTTGTGAAATGTCACCGAGTTAGAGCTGATGACAGGTTCAGTGGATGGGGAGAGGAAAGAGAAGACTTGGAAGGTGTTGCAAGCAGAATGATAGTGCAGATCAATATCTGCCTGACTTTTTAATGTTTAATCGGGCAGTGACACTTTAGGATTTTCTTTCAGGTCTTACCTTCAACAAGTTTGTCTTTTCAGGTATAGTAGTTGAAGATTGTCTCCTCCTGCTTCAAAATTTGTTGAAGAACAATAATTCCAATCAGAATTTTTTTAAAGAAGGTTCATACATTCAGCGTATGAAACCTTGGTTTGAGGTTGGTGATGACAATTCTGGCTGGTCTGCACAGAAAGTGACTAATCTTCATCTGATGCTTCAGGTAAAATGTTCTTTGTTACCAATATAATAGGAGCTTTGACAATTCTTTCAGAATAAAGTACATAACATAGCTTGCTTATGGTGATTCCAGATAGAATTTTTACAGTGAAAAATAGATTAATCCTGTGTTTTAATTGTATAGACAGGATTTCTTGACTTTGAGAAATATAGCAATGTAAGCTAAAAGCCTTTCAAATCCTAGAGTCCAGTGAAGGATTTTCGGCTCCAGCTTTTATCTGTTCATGATGTTTTATAACTTTATGCAAACTTAGGACATACCATAGTGAAAACCATCAATCTAGAATAATGTAATAAGGTTTTCTCACAAGTATTTGTAATACTTCTCTGAGGCTGGTTCTAGAGATCCAGTGGTAGAGCTAGTATTAGAACCCGAGTCTCCTGATTCTCTGTCAAGTCAACAAGCATTTATTAAGCGCTTGTCCAATGTTCTGCCAAAGTCCATTGTTGTTTGTGAGAAGAGCATAGAATTACAAATGGATGATTTTCTAATTTGAACCATTCAGTTAAATTCCCTAAAAATGCTTATTATATGCAATGCGCTGTGCTAGGCACGGCAGATACAGAGATGATGAATGACGTGATGCTTTTGATTGATCTCTGTGCCTCCAGTTTCTCCTCACTCCAGTCTCTCTGCCATTCAGCTGTCCAGTAGATCTTCCTGAAGGGCAAATCCAGCCTTGTTCACCTCCAGGGACATCCTGTTACCTCCAGGATCAAATATGAAATCCTGTTTAGCTTTTAAAACCCTTCATAATCTGACCCTTTCCTTCTTTTCCAATTTTTTTTCATCTTATTTCCTTTTACATACTCTGATCTCCTTGCCATTCCTCACACAAGATGCTCAGTCTCCCAACTGTTATGTATTTTCACTGGCTTTACTAGGTGTATTTTGACATGTACATAAATAGCTTTAATAAAGTAAGAATGTCTCCAGTAAATTGGAGAACAGAGATAGGTGGGAAAACGAGAGATTGTTTTTGACCAGGTGTATCATATGAATTAGATCTTGAAGAAAGAAAATGATTTCAGCAGGTGGAGATGTGGAAGGAGAGGGGGAAGGTGTGCCAGGCATAATAGGAAGGGCTGAGCAAATGCACAAAAGCAAGACAGAGTTGAGGGTGAGGAGTCTGGAGTAGTCCAGTTTAGCTGGAATATTAGAATACACAAATGATAGTGGTTTGAAATAAGATTGAAGAATGTCGGTTTGTGACCAGATTCCAGAGATCTTTGAATAACAAGCTAAGGAGTCTGTGTTTTATCTTTTAAACATTGAAGAGTACGTCATTCTAGTTAGGAGGCTATTCAGATTGTCCAAGTAAGAAGTGATGAAGTTTGGGAGCAGGATAGCCATAATGAGAGGAGATGGATGGAATAATTATGACTAGTAGAAGGCATTGGTAGAACTTCTTTGACTAATTGGATATGAGATGGGGGAAAGAGTTGGAAATGGGACTCTCGGTTTTGAGCCTGTATGATTATGAGGATGTTGGTGCTATCCACACAGGAACATAGGAGAAAAATCAGGTCTGGAGGGAAAAATAGTGAGTTCTGTTTTGGATGGGCTTAGTTTAAGTTGTTAGTGCAACACTCCGATGGAGATGTCTTTCAGGCATTAGAAAACAAGGTACTGGGTGGAGCTCAGAGGCCGATCAATTATATTCATGTCCTATCAATAAGAGGCAAACGGAGATTGAGATTTGTGAACCCTCCGACTAGAGGTGGCAGCTGATGCCATGAATGTTGGTAAGATCACCAGTGAAGTACAGAAGGAGACAAGATGGCCAGATACTGAGATCTGGAGAACACCCACCTACCTTCGTGACTTGGGAAGAAGAGGCACAGCCAGTGAAGGAGATGGAAAAGGGGCAGTTCCAGAAGCAGGGAGGAAATTCAGAGGCAGCAGCATCAGAGGAACCAAAGGGGCCAGTGTCCAGAAGTACCATCGTCATCTTCGTTGTCAACCGTAGATAAGTCAAGAAGGGTGAAGGCCAGTGTCAGAGGAACCAAAGGGGCCAGTGTCCAGAAGTACCATCGTCATCTTCGTTGTCAACCGTAGATATGTCAAGAAGCGTGCAGGCCAAGAACACACCATTAGATTTGTCAGTGAAGAATCTTGAGGGACATTGAGAGAAGGGCTTCAATAGAGTGGTGGGGGTGAGCTAGATTATGAATGGCATTGGGAAAGAAGAATGGGCTACTGAGTGGTCATGCCAGGTGAGCTGCCTGAGGCCACTCAGGTGTAGAATTATTATGAAGTGCTTCAGAGCTTTCAGAGCTTGTCGTGCTTGTCCTTTAGTATTAGTTTCCTTTTCAGAGGAGACACCATGCTTCTGGACCGATCATGATACTTGTGGCTGTCTTAACGCTCTAAAAGTTACAGAACATTTCCTCATCACTGAATGATTAAGTACTTGAGAAAGGGTCTGAAGATTGTGGGGATTGTCAGTAAAATTTAATTTAAAAAAAAATTTTTTTTTTACAAAATTTAAAATGACTCTGAAAACTGTGAATTTTGCAGGTGAATATGGCAATGGGAGACTTCTTTATAGTCCTAATTTTTTTAAAAATTTAAAACAGCCAGTGTTGTAATTTTTGTATTTTAGATGATTTTTTTGTTTTTTATAACCAGCACCAGCAAGTGGTAAACTTGATATCAAAGTCAGCAGCATTCCTTTTTTTTTTACTGTCTTAAAAAAAAAATTCCATTTTATTTAATATCACTGCTTTTTAAGGGTGAAAATTCCTCCAAAAGATTTTTTTCAGGTGTATAGATATGCATGTAAACTGAAATCTCAACCAAAGTACCATGTAATTACTTTATTTGTTAGATTTCATTTGGAGTGGGGGGAGATTCTTTTTTTTTTTTTTTAAATAAACTCTACATTGCTGGGCTTAAAGTTGGAAAAATCTTTCTTCATGTCTTATCAGTCTTGAAGGGGATATATACTCTCCAAAGAATCATGGCCCAATATTAATTTCTTTATTATAGCTCCTGTATTAAGTACTTGATCCATTTAGTACCTCATTACCCACCCTCTCCAACCTTAGGAATGATTTTGCATTTTAGCATTATTTTGTGGTACCTTTTATTTCAGGTTACTCTCCTACTTTATTTTGACTGAACACTTGAAATCTTTTTTAATGACCTGGTGTTTCCCAGGGTGCTTTGAGTAATTCATGAGTTTTATTAATATGATCATAGTTGTGCTATTAAAATTGAGGTCTTCTTCCTTAGTGTGTATATGGAGGTTAAATTTTAGGAAACATTACAGAGTTCTCTGATAATTCAGGGTTTCATAAAATCATCGAAGTTTTGAGTTGGAAGAGATCTTACGAGTTCATCTAGTCTACTCTTTCATCCATGTAGGAGTTATTTCTGTAATGTTACCTATAAAAGATCATCCTCTGGCCTTTGCTTGAAGAAGCTCAGTTCTTCTACCCACTCGTAGGAGTTTTCATAAATTTAACCTGAAAAGGAGTCTTAGAGATAGATGAGGGAGCTGAAGCTGGGGAAGTTGGGCCTACCTAAGCTGCCCCAATAGCAGGATAGTCATTCAAACCCAGGTTCTTTAACTCCAAGTCCATTGGCTTTTCTTATTAACACCTCTGTTGCTCCCTGATGTCTGGAGAAAGTGAAGAAGGCTTCTGGTGTGTTGGGGGAGTTTGCTGTTGTGAACTTAATGTACATTTCGTGGACATGGACCCAGTTCAAGCATGAATGGTTGGTGATCCGTGTTACTGGAAGAAACTTCCGAATTGAGATCACAGATCCATTTGAATGTTTGGTCAAAGCTGAGCTTAGATTCAACTTCTGATTTGACCATCTCCCTGGAATTCTCATTGGACATCCCCAGAAGTTCTCTTCTTATCAAGATGATATCTGCCTCGCTGTGACTCCCATCCACTGGCTTTAGTCTTGCCTAGTGTCTGCTCCTGTGTGAAAGCCCTTCAGATATTTGAAGAAAACCATGATAGATGTCTTCCTTTAGCTCTCTTCAGGCTGAATCTCTGGTGGCTTTGACCCTTTCTCTTGTGATGTGGTTTCCAGACCTCCCATCATCTGCCTTTCCTACCATTGGATAGATTCTAATTTGTCAACAATCCTCTTCAAATGAAATCTACAATTGGACACAGTAGTTACCTTTTTTTGTGGAATGGTCTCTTGGTCCAGTCTGGGGAAGCCTGTGGACCTCATCTCAGAATAATATTCTTGAATGAAGAAATAAAATATGTAAAATTCCAAAGGAAATTATATTGAAATACAAGAATATTTTTAAAAAGACAAGTTCACTAACCCCCTGAAATCTATCCACAGAACCCCATAGAGGGGAAACGCAGACCTCCGGCTAAGAACCCCCTCTCCAGACAGAGGGCATTGCTTCGCTTGCTCCAGGGCACATTGCTTCTATAATTCAGCCTGAGGTGGCTTTTATGTTGCCTTCACGCACACCTAAGTGTGTCCAAGCATGCATATGTGTGATCACAATGTCTGTTTTGCTCACAATGCACCTACAAAGTTTGTAGGGGTCCCAGGATTTTTGAAGATGATATCTGTAGCACATAGATAGTTTCTGCCAAGCTGGAAAAGTTCTGAAGGAGGACCTGGTTGATAGTTGATGGAGTATTTATTGTTGAGTATCAGCCACCTAGCTACAGATGTGAGAGGCTTATCGGTAAAAGGCTAGCCATCAGTCAATCAGTTTTTTTCTAGCAGCCAGAGGGGTTGTGATGTGCCTGGGTGACAGTAGCACAGATGTTAATGAAATTGTGCGTTCTCAGAGTGGTGAAACAAGTGTGCATGTACCCACACACATCTTTGTACAGTTTTCATGTTGTGTTATTTCCTCCAGACAGCTTTGTTTTTATACATTTCTGTTATTTGTTAGTTTGGGGGACAATGTAGTAATTTCCCCAAATATTGGACATTAATAGAAGTTGTCTGCAGTTTCTTACCATCACATAGACCATGGTTATAAATATAACATAACTTGTTCTTTTCGCATTCTTTTTATTTTTTTTTTAATTGATGTCATTAATGGGTCAAAGGCATGATCGCTTTCTGGCTCTTCCACATTACCAGATTGCTTTCCAGAAAGACTGCACCAGTTTTCATAGCTACCAGCAGTATTTTGTAGGTATCTGCTTCCCTGCAGTCTCACTGATGTTTAGTGAGGCTGCCAGTTTAATGGATGGATATGAAAGAGTATCTCATGGTAGTTTGATTCTTAGTGAATTTGAAAACATTTTTGAGTTTTGTTTCTCCTTACATTATTTTTCTGATTATCCTTTGAGTATTGAAGCCACCCTTAGAGATTTATATCAGTCCACTATTCTGGAAGTCAAGCTTTTGTCTTATATTTTTTGTATCTTTTTCTTCATTCAGTTGCTTTTCTTTTTGCCTTACATGTTTTATTTCTAGTTGTGCAAAATTAATTTTATTTTTATATAATCAAACCCCTCAACCTTACTCCAAATAATTCCTTACATTACTTTGATAGTTAAGATTTTATCTCTTCCCTTCTTTTTGAATTAATAGCCTTATCTTTCTTCAAACATTTAAATAATTGGTTAATATTTTGAAGTGTGGGGGAATGAGGATGGAAGATAATACTTATCTCATTTTTAGTTTATTTTAGATCAAAAGAAATTTATTTTGTTCCTTGTTAACCTAGTTTTCCCAGTGTTAATTTTTTAGTTCCCTTCCTTATTATTGAATAGGCATAGATTTGTCAGTGTGTTACAATAGAAAGGGCTCCCTATCTGGAGACAGAAGGCCTGGGTTCAGATTCTCCTGCTTGCCTTAGTGACCCCAGGCAGGGTCCTTTTACCTCTCTAGGATTCAAATTTCTCACCCTAAAATGAGGAGGTTGGTAGCAATGAGGTCCAAGATCCCTTCAGCTCTAAATCTGATCCTTTTATTTTAATTTTGAATTCTTACTGGTCTTCTTTTCCGTTGGTCTATTTTTCTGACTTTTTGGTCAGTACTAGGCAACTTCGGTATTGTCACGTTTTGTTTAAGGTCTGGAGTGCGAATCTTCTTTCATTGACTTCTTTTCTCTAATGTACGCTTTCATTTCCTTGCCAGACTATTTTGCTAAATCAGTTTTGTTTTCTTTTTATACTAAAACTTTGTAAAGAGACCTGCTAGCTTTCAAAATTCATATTAATTTATATTTATATAATTTACTTAATAAATGTTGTTGGTTGATTCATAATATTAAATAAATTAATTTGGCATAATACAGATACTTGTTAGCATTATAATATTTAATATTTCTGATGATCAGCAAGAAGTAGCTCTCTGTTTGCTTAGGCTTTATTTTATACTTTCATTCTACTTTAAAAACAATTCTTTTTTCTCCTTTTCCTAACTTAGCTTGTTCGTGTTCTGGTATCACCTACAAATCCTCCAGGTGCTACCAGCTCATGCCAGAAGGCAGTGTATCTCTGTGGATTGTTGCAACAGCTTTGTATTATCTTAATGGCTACTGGTGTTCCTGCTGATATTCTGACTGAGGTACATAAATGACACATACTTTTATCAAACCATCCCCCAGGCCGGGAAGAAGCTGTGGTTTTATAGATTTTTATGAGCTTTGCTTATTGTGTCCGTATAGGATTACTTAAATGGTTTCTTAGCTGTCATTTCATCCCATGGCAAAGGTGGGTTTTTTTTGAGTCTTCCCTAAAGTAGAATACATTTTGAGGAAGCTTTTTATAAAAAGTTATTTCTAGGATGTTAGTGGAAGTGTTTTTATTTTATTTTTTTTCTCAATTACATGTCAAGACAATTTTTAGCTTTTTTTTTTCACAAGATTTTGAGTTCCAAATTTTTCTCCCTCCCTTCCCTTCCCTCTTCTGAAAGTGATAGGCAGTTTGATACAGGTTATACGTGTGCTTTCATGCCAAACATATTTCTATATTAGTCACAGTTGTGAAAGAAGAAACAGATCAAAGGGGAAAAAAGCCACGAAAAAGAATGAAGTGAAGAAAATATGCCTCAATCTGTATTCGTTGTCCATCAGTTCTTTATCTGGACGTGGACAGCATTTTTTTTCATGAGTCTTTTGTACTTGTCTTGGTCATCATGTTGCTAAGAAGAGCTGACTCATTCATAGTTGGTCATCACACAGTTTTGCTGATACTGTGTACAACGTTTTCTTGGTTCTACTCGTTTCACTTTGCATCAGTTCATACAAGTCTTTCCAGGTTTTTCTGAAAACTGTCTATTCTTCATTTCTTACAGCACAATAGTATTCCGTTGCATTTATATACCACAACTTGTTCAGCCGTTCCCCAATTGATGGGCATCCCCTCAGTTTCCAGTTCTTTGCCACCACACAAAGAGCTGCTGTAAACATTTTTGTATATGTAGGTCTTTTTCCGTTTGTTGTGGTCTTTTTGAGATACAGACCTAGAAGTAGTATTATTGGATCAAAGGGTTTTGCACAGTTTTGTAGCCCTTTGGGCATAGTTCCAAATCACTCTCCAAAATAGTTGGATCATTTCACAACACCACTAACAGTGCATTAGTGTCCCAGTTTTCCCACATCATCTCCAACATTTATCATTTTCCTTTTTTGTCACATTAGCCATTCTGATAGGTGTAAGGTGGTAGCTCAGAGTTGTTTTAATTTGCATTTCTCTAATCAGAAGTGATTTAGAGCACTTCTTCATATGATAGCTTTTGATTTCTTCATCTGAAAACTGCCTGTTCATACCTTTGGCCATTTATCAATTGGGGAAGGGAAGTGTTTTTAAAGAGAGATTTATGAGTGTATTTTTAAGAAATGTATATGCAGTATATGAGATTTTTATTGCTACAAATTATTTCCTAATGATCTCCAGTTTTTCAAGCTGACTTTGGAGATTAAATTGAAAGAGAAGCAGTTAAATTTTTTCCTACTCTGAAATCAGCATTAGGCCTTCTTTATTTTCTGATGAATATTTAAATTCTTCTCAACAGACCATTAACACTGTATCAGAAGTTATTCGAGGCTGGCAAGTAAACCAAGACTACTTTGCATCTGTCAATGCACCTTCAAACCCACCACGGTAGGAGAAAGGGATATATCTATACTTCTAAAAGCTTCCTGTGGAAACTACAAATATACTTAATTAACTGATTTGGTAGTAAAACTTGTGTGTGTGTGTCTTTGGTTTCTGAAATCCTGCTGTGCACCTTTGAGATGGCAAGAGATTAATCTTTCTGCAAATCAGATAGACTGGGTTTTTTCCTCTGTATTTGGAGCTTTGGGTGCTAGGTTTCTTTTCACAGTTTTTTATCAGTTACCAGAAATATCTACTTTATGACTTAAAAGTTATATTTGAAATAATTAGCCCTTGACAAAACATGTTGCTTTTCTTCTCCAGAATATGACTTCCCCCACAGTTCACCTTTCACTGTGTCTTGACTCTTTTAAGTGGAACCTGTCAGCAAATGCTGGCATATAGTGGGCACTCAGTAAAGAACTATTGAACTGAATTGACTCTTCAGCTGAGTTGAATCCTTAACTGCCTCCAGCTTTTGTCCATGATTCCTAACCGTGAGGTAGATAGGTGAAAATAGATTTAAGTTTTTTTTTTTATCTTGTTTTTGAAAAATTTGGGTAGAATTTTAGTGGTGGACGCTGGGTAGGTATTTCCAGAAATGTCTAGTGTTGTTATCCCCATTTTTATAGACAAGAAACCCAGTTGTCAAAGGGGTGATTAGCCAAAGATTACCCATGTAGTAAATAGGCATAAGAAGACTTGTCATGTTCCAGGGCCTCTGCCTCAAATACAATGTCCTTTCCACTCCTACATATGAATGAGGTGCTTTGTCTCTGGGAATTAATTGTGAACGAATAGGCAAATCCATTTTTCTTTATTTTTCTTTAAAAAATTTTTTTTATTAATTTTGAAAATACAAAAAGAAAAAAAAATTTCCATGTACGTAGCACAACATAAAAAGAGGATTCAGTATAAAACCATGAATTTCATTTCACACTTTTACTTTTTTTTTAAAACTATGTACCGAATAATATACATCATTTTCAAAGCTACCCTGCTTTTCTGTGCTTCCTTCTAAATTTTCCTTTATTCTCTGCTGTACATTTACTAACATACTTCTTCTATTAGCTCTTTGGATGTGGATAACATCTTCCTTCGTAGGTCCTTCACAGTTAATTTGATTATTTGTAATACTCAAAATGACTGTCATTCAAAATTGTTCTGAGAACAATATTGCTGTTACTGTCTACAGTGTTCTTTTGGTTCTCTCATTTCACTCTTCATTATTTCATGCAAGTCTTTCCATGTTTTTCTGAAATCAGCCTGCTCATCATTTCTTACAGCAGAGTAGTATTCCACCGCAATCCTATACCACAACTATAGCCACTCCCCAGTTAATGGGTATCCCCTCAATTTCCAGTTCTTTGCCACCACAAAGAGAGCTGCTGTAAATATTTTAGACCATATAAATTCCTTACTTTTTTCCCTAGGAAACAGAGCTAACCGTGGTATTACTGTCAATGGGTATAGGTAGTTTTGATACTTCTTTGGCCATATTGCTCTCCAACATGGTTGGATCAGTTCACAGTTCCACCAACAGTGAATTAGCATCCCAGTTTTTCCACATCTCCTTAAACATTTGTCGCTTTACCTTTTTATCATTTTAGCCAATCTAATAGGTGCGGTGTGTTATTTTAAAGTTGTTTTAATTTGCACTTCTCTAATCAATAGTAATTTAGAGTATTTTTTCATGACCATATGTAGTTTTTATTTCTTCATCAAAAAACTGCCTGTTCATATCCTTTGACCATTTATCATTTGGGGAATGACTTGTGTTCTTATAGATTTGACAAAGTTCTTTATATATTTGAGATATGAGACATATTTGAGATATGAGTTTATCTGAGAAACTGTGTGTAAAATTTTTTCCCCAATTTTCTGCTTTCTGATCTTGGATACATTAATTTTATTTGTATAAAACCTTTTTAATTTAATGTGATCTAAATTATCCGTTTTACACCTCACTATGCTATCTCTTGTTTATTCATAAATTGCCCTCCTCTCTGTAAGTCTCATAGGTAATATGTTCCATGTTCTTCTAATTTTCTTACAATATGTCCCTTTATATCTAGGTCTTGTGTCCATTTTGACTTTATCTTGGTTAAATGGTGTAAAATACCAGTCTATATCCAATTTCCTTTCCAACTTTCCCAGTAATTTTTACCAAATGATGAATTCTTCTCCCCAGAGCTTAAATCTTTACATTTGTCAAACACAAGTTTACTATAGTCGTTTGCTACTGTGTGTGGTATGTCTGTTCTGTTCCACTGATCTGCCTTTGTACTATTTCTTAGTCACTACCAGATAGTTTTGATAATTAGAGCCTTATAGTTTAAGATCAGGTATTGCTAAACCTCCTTCCTCTACATTTTTTCCATTAATTCCTTTAATATTCTTGACCTTTTGTTCTTCCAAATGAATTTTGTTATTATTTTTTCTAGCTCAGTAAAATAATTTTTTGTAATTTAGTTGGGGTGGCATTGAATAAATAGATTGGTTTAGGTAAAATTGTAATTTTTATTAAATTAGCTCTGCCTATCCATGAACAGTTAATATTTCTCCAATTATTTAAATCTGACTTTATTTGTATTAAAAAAGGTTTTAATAGATATGTTCATGTAGTTCCTAATTTTGTTTTGTTAGGTTTATTCCCAGGTACCTTACGATGCCTGCAGTTATTTTAAGTGGGGTATCTCTTACTATCTCTTCTTAACAGAGTTTTGTTGGTGATATATAGAAATTCAGATGACTTATGGAAATTTATTTTACATCCTGCCATTTTGCTAACATCATTAATTGTTTCCACTAACTTTTTAGTTGAAGCTTTAGGATTTTCCAAGGATATCATCATATTGTGTGCAAAAGAAGATAGTTTTATTAGGCAAATCCATTTTTCAGGTTTTCCTAATTGGGTGAGTGTGGCCTTAGAAAAATAAGATAGCCCTGGGAAAAAGATATTTGAGCAACACTTGCTGCACGCTGTAACTATCCTTTTAGCTCTGGGCCTCACATGACTGAGTCTCGGGCTTTGTGTGCTTTGGTTCTGATATGCATTTTTCTTTTAATAATGAAACAGGCCTGCAATTGTTGTGCTTCTGATGTCCATGGTTAACGAAAGGCAGCCATTTGTGTTGCGCTGTGCTGTTCTCTACTGTTTCCAGTGTTTCTTGTATAAAAACCAGAAAGGACAAGGGGAAATTGTGGCCACGCTTCTACCTTCTACCATTGATGGTAATGATTTGTTTTTTTAAGTATTTCTACATTGAATCCAATCTTACGCTTTTATCTAAAATAGTTTACATCCTCAGTCTGTCTTCCTATAGCTGAAGATTAATCTTAATGTTAAGTAAAATGTAAATGTTTTGGTTTGAGCAATTCTTTACTGGTAATAATGTTGGGGCTTTTATTATCATGTGAGTGACCCACAGTTTTAATTATTTGGGGCCCAGTATTCAATAACTTATAGCCACTGTATCACCACTGGAAGATTACATAAGCAGGACGGACATAAAAAAAGTTACAGGTTGATTTTATCTTGTGCTTTAAAAAGAAAAGCCAACTCTGTATAATAGATACTCACAGTTTGTCATACATTCCTTCCTTTACATTTTGTAGTACATATGGAAATGCCCATTCAGTTTTGTTAGGTTCAAAATAAAAAATGAGGAAGTGAACATTAAAAAGCAAAAAGAATATTTCTGGGCCTTTGTTTAAGGGAAAAGCGTGGTTTTATTAAAAACACTTTATAGTTTTCCAAAGGTCACCCAGGTCTGTCTCCTCCTCCTCCTGCTCCATTCTGGTCCCAGTTCATTGGGCATTCATAGCTTCTGTCTACGATGTACTAATGGACCACCTCTCCAGCAGGGTCATAAATCTAGGAAAAGATTCTTTTTATTATCAGATGTTTTTCAATTAAATTTTTTCGTGATAAAATCTTGAGATCAACTATATACATAAAAATTCATGGTAAAGTAAATGTATGAGTCCTAAATAAACACTTCTCATCAGTTTGACTTTCTGGAAATTGAGCTGTGTGCTTTGCTACTGTAAATCCCAACACCACATTTTATTTCCTCTTCCATAATCCCTGATCTTTTCATTCTTCATTCATTGCTTCCATCCTTCTGCAGGCATTTATTATCCATCCTTACTGTGCCTTTTTCCCCCACTGAACAGTTTAAAAAACCCAAAAAGTAAAATCTTCTTAACATATTCTGAATCCAGCAAAACTAATTTCCATATTGACCATTTCCAAAAATCTGTGTCTCATTCTGCACTTTTAGTTCATTACCTCTCTGGGAGGAGATGGGAGTAGGGTGGGCTGGGAGGAGGAATTCGTATTTAGGCCTCAAAGCTCATGGTTTATTATTGCATTGAACAGAGTTATAAAGTCTTTCATATTTGTCTTTCTCTATAATGTTTTCATGTAATTCTTCTCATTTCACTCTACATTATTTCATATTGAAGTCTTTGTACTTTCCTCTGAAACTGACCATTTCATCATTGCTTATGGCACACAGGAATATTTCCATTGTATTTATGTACCATAATTTGTTTCGCCATTCCCCAGGAGGTAGACACCCACTTAGTTTCTGCTTTTGGCTACTATGACAAATATAGGGGTTCTTAACCTGGAGTCCTTGTACTTTAGATAGGTCGATAGGTAGATCAATTGATTGATCAATAAATATACCTCCTAATAGTATTTTGTTTTATTCATTTAAAAATATTATTCTAAGGAGTCTATAGGTGGCATCAGACTGTCAAAGGGGTCCAGGACACAAAAATGGTTAAGAAACCCTGATGTCATACTGAAAGAAACCCTGGGAGCAATCTGACCCAACCCTCTGATTTCACAAGTGAGGAAATTAAGTCTCACCAAGATTAACTGACTTCCCAAGGTCACTTCATTAAGCATCAGTCCATACAAGTCTTTCCAGGTTTTTCTGACGTCCTCCTACTACTCATGTCTTATAGCACAGTAGTATTCCATTACATTCATATACCACACCTTGTTCAGCCATTCCCCAATTGATGGGCATCCCCTCAATTTCCAATTCTTTGACACCACAAAAAGAGCTGCTATAAATATTTTTGTCCATGTGGGTCCTTTTCCCATTTGTATGATCTCTTTGGGACGTAGCCCTAAAAGTGCTTGCTGGGTCAAAGGGTGTGCACATTTTTATGACCCTTTGGGCATAGTTAAGAATCTATTTTAAAAGCAAATCTAAGAAAGTTGAGACAAAATTCTCCCTTCGTGATGACATGGTCTGTTTGCCATTCTTTTGCCATTCCCGTCAGCTACTAAGAGCATACTTTGTAGAAATGGAAAAGGGAAAACTGGAAGGCGTTCTCCTGTAGGTCTACCCAGTATCCACTTTGATTGTGCAATGACTAAACAATTTGGGATTCATGAATGTAATAGAATATTCATTTTCTGTAAGAAACGAGGGAAGATTTACAAAAACAGAGGCGTAGAGAAGTAAGCCAAGCCAGGAAAACAGTGTGCCCAGTGCCTCGAGCCACATGAAAGGTAGGGGACTGTTGTGGGATCATATAGTCCAGGCTTCTCCTCCCTGGAGCAGCCCCGTGATTGCTCCCGCTCCCTTCCTGTGGAGGGGTGGTGTTGGGGCCCCAATGCCAGCTCAGCTGGTGTGCTGCAGCTGCCCTTCCTCCTCTCCCTGACTGCCCAGTGCCCTCTGGGCAAGGGAAGGATACAGTTATAGGTGGGAATGAAGGTGACAGCAAAACAAAAGACCAATAAAAATGTAAAAAGAGAAAAGAAGAAAAGACAAAGGAAAGAAAAAGCCCTAAGGCTGTGTTGTGTCCTGTCAGTGGATTTGACCTTTCCTTGAATTTGTTTTGGAATCAGTTTCCTCAGCCCCAGCCTGGTGGCTGTCATTGGTAGTCTTCTGAGATCTTCTGATTCCTGCTAGGGGAATCTCCTTGAACTTCCTTCTTCAGACACTCCTTCTCCTTGGCCTCTTCATGTTTTCTGAGTTGTCCTTTACTCGTCCACTACGGTTTAGGAGCAAAGAGAAATGAAGAACACCGCCTTGGGGTGTTTCATGACGTTACTGGGTAGCAGCATATCTGATATGTCGACTATACCTTCAGTTCATTTTGAGTTTAGTCTGATTGGATGTAGAGCTCTGACACTCTCTTCTGCCTGCCAATTTTGTAGCTACAGGTATCTCAGTCTCTGCCGGTCAGCTGTTATGTGGAGGCCTCTTTTCTACGGATTCCCTTTCAAACTGGTGTGCTGCCGTGGCCCTGGCCCATGCTTTGCAAGAAAATTCTACTCAGAAGGAACAGCTGCTGCGGGTCCAGCTTGCCACAAGCATCGGCAACCCGCCAGTGTCTCTGCTGCAGCAGTGCACTAACATCCTCTCTCAGGTGCAGTACTTGGCCATCCTTACGTGCAGAGGGGGAGGGGAGCGGGAACGTGCACTAAAGAGACATTTTGATTTCAGCACAGAAACCCTACAGGATTTATGGAGCATCAGGAAAGTTTGCAGAGAAAGGAGAAAAGAGCAGGGCTCACACACTCATTTTCTTTTAGGAAGAGAAAGCAGCTGGCGGCACTTTGCCTCTGGCATTAGTCTGTACAGCGTGGTATTAATTAGGCTTGCACTGCCCTGGCTCTTTGAAGAACTGGCCCCAGTTTCCTGATCAGTCCCATGATGGGGTTGAACTTGGCCTCGGAAGCCCCTTCTAACTCTAAGTCTGTGGTCCTGTGACTTGATGAGGGCCTTCCACAGGAATTAATGGTTGAGCTTATTGAGGACGAAAGATGGTCATTAGCAAGCTGAATATTATAGTGAATCTCTTGTCACTATTAAAAATCACACCTTTATCCTTACTTCTCAGACATAATTTTTAAAAACATAAATGCCGCACATATTTGGAAGTAGTCAAACCCTCATCCTAAGAGGCCATGCATAGTCACTTAGCATTTGTCAGCTCCAGCCTTTGCCATCGCACAGCCTATCAGCGATCCTCTCTTAATCCAGATAGCTGTTGACTGTCTAGTCATGACCACCATACACTGAAGAGTGAGGAGTCATGAGGGTTTATGGATAATGAGATAGCTTCAAGGTGATTTCATTTCACACCCCCCCCAAATGGCAGCAATATATCACCTTGACCCCAGGATAGGAATATACATTTTAGTAAAATAGAGGCAACCTCAAAGTAGAATCAACCATAAGTGATTAATGCTGGGATAGTTAAAGATGGGGGGTGGAAGGGAAGAATTTTGATAGGATTTTTCCAGATTTAATTTTCCAAAATAGTAATGCATGTGAATTTTTTTAATGTATAATTTACAGGGTGATAAGATCGACAGACGGGTATGTATCATCTGGTGGAGTTTAGGCATTTCCCTCTTAAAAATAGGGCCTTTTCTGTGTCTTGGGTTCTGCTGATTGGTTTTTTTTAACCGCTTGTTGAAGTAATACTCTACTTACTCTTTCATGTGTCAGCCAAGGTAGCACTCTTACGGGCTTCTCAGTGGGATGCTGCGGCGGTGTCCTTGGAGCTACGCCAGTGACATTCCTAAGCTGGTCTTGGCCTTTCTCTTGGGATGCTTGCACTTTGCAGAATTCAAAGGGGTTTAGTTGAAACTTTCTTCTTTTCTCATTAATGTTTTTTAAAGAAGGTAAAATTTAGTTTTAAGGCACTTATACCTTTGCTTAATCATAATTTAAAGTAGGAATCGTTTCAGTGGATTGCTTAGACCACGCTAAGTCTTGACGTTTCAGATGTTTACAATTAAAACACCGCGGTTTATTTGGTATGTAACCTCTCCCTTCAAACATTTGGGAATGCTTTTATTTATCTTTTCTGAGTGATTGGCAGAAAGGTGTATAGTTTAAACTAGTAAGCATAGGCGTGCTTGGGTATATGGTGTCACTTTAAAATCTGGGTAACAATAACTGAGCTGCTGAATTGAGATGTTTGCTTTTTTTATGTAAGTTAATGGTATTGAGCATTATGTCTGTTCAGAGCATGAACTAATATTTTATTGACATGGAAGTTCCCATCTCAGTGCTCTGTGTGGTATTTGAGAAGGGCAAGTGTGTCATAAGTATTAGACTTAATAATATACAAGTGTGGGGGGAAAATGATCATCAAAGAATGGAAAACCCATAGATATGCAAAACAGATTTTGCCAAACCTAAAATTCCTGAGCATGTTTGTCCTCATAATCAAAATCAATCAAAATACTAGACATGTTTTAATATTTTACTAAAGATCTAGTCGAGATAAATTATCTTGAAAAGGCCAGTTCAAAATTTCCCAAAAATTGTTTGGGCTGATTGCCATGAGCAATTCTCCAGCGTTTAAAATCCTCAAAAAATGAGAGGGCTGCTAGGTGGCACAGTGGATAGACTTACTAGCCGTGTGACCTTGGGCAAGTCACGTAAGCCCAATTGCTTTTAAAAAAAAAAAAACTCAAAAAAAGAAATTACGTTTACCTTGTTGATGTAATTTAAAGTGTTTTCAAATAAATGTTTATTGAATTCCTACAGTGTTCCAAGCCTTTGATATCAAGAACTGTGACATATACATAAAATGATCATCGTTAAAAAACATTTAGCTCTCACTAAAACTTACACATATATGCAACAAAGCAGGTTGATCTTCTGTTTTTCTGTTCCAATGTTTTCTCCATTGTAAGGGATGTAGTCACTTTTAATTAACTGAGACGCAGACTGTATTAAGCTCCTTGAGGCAGGGACTGTCTTTATTTATCATTTCTTATGCCTTGCACATGCTAAGTATTTAATGCTTAATGAATTTAATTCGGAAAGTCATTTGACCTCTGTGATTGTAGCACTAATTTGTACCTCTTGTATATGTCTTGCAAATGAAAATCCTTATATTCTTATTAGGTTAACTTATATATGACCAAGTCATGAATTATTGGTTATTTATGTGTGTGCCATAATCCCTTGCAGATTGTATGCTCTGTTGAAAGCAGATTTTTTACCTGAATTTGTCTTGCTGAGTGCCTAGTACGTGCTCTTTAGGTGCTAAGTGAATGTTGGTTGGGTTGGGTTTGTAGAACTGAATCCCAGTCCAGATTTTTCAGTTTGCCAGCTGTGTGTGTACTTTGGGCAAGTTACATGGCCGCTGTACCTTAGTGTCCTCATAGGGAAAATGGGGGTCCAGAGACCTATTCAGTCTCTCTCCCAGATTGGTTGTGCTGAGCAAATAAGACTGTGCTAGTGTGGAGACATTCTTTGTGGTTCTAATGATTGAGGGCAGGGGGGATCTGAAGCCGGGGGCGGGGGGAAGTGGGAGGGAAAAAGAAGAAAGACCCTGAGTCATTGCCTAACAAAGGCTGACTGACTTGGGTCTGCTGAGTAAGTAACCTCAGCGGTACAACATCCGAGGGGAAAGCGAGCAGGAAATTTCTGGCATGCCGGAAAGGACAGGGCCTGTGCTACTCCCCACCTGGAACCACTTCCTCATCTGAGGGGAAGAGTGTGGCGCTTTTAATCTTCCTGAATTAAAAAAGAGTTTTGAGGCTTCATTTTGGAGAGGAAACAGAAAAGTATTTGATCAGGGAGATGTTGGAAAGAGAGCTGGAGACTCTTTTGGCTAAACAGAAGCACTCGAAAATCGAGTCATTCAGCATCTTTTGGAAAGCAAGGAAGTTGTGCAGGGGCCTGACACCAAGTATGTGATCAGTCATACTGTGCATGTGCACATATGTCTGGCCTCACACACACACACACACACACACACACACTTCCATAGAAAGAGCCCCAGCCCAAAAATGAGGAGGCCTGGCTGCTAGGCCACTTCTGCCTCTTTGAAGGCAGGGGAGCGTGGCAGGTCACTTCGTTTCTTGGTCACCTCAGATTCTTCATCTGTAAACTGAAATTGTGCTAGATGGTTTCTCAGGATGCTTCATCTGTAAGATTTTGTAAGTGACAATGAAGCTGAAAAAATGCTATCAGTAGCCTCTTCAGGAGTGAGAAACCTCACTTTGTGCTGGTGGGAGGAGGGCGTGTAAGACCAGAGACTCCTTCAAATGCCTTGCTAAAGCTGTGTCTTTTAACCCTCGGTCAAAAGTTTTCATAATCATCATGGTATGGTGCGTGTATGTGTTTTACTTCTTCAAGGAAGTGGTCTATATTCATTCCATGCTGTTGTTCTCATTTAATGCCTTTCTTTTTTTGAGAGACAGAGTGAGCCCAGAGTATTGGTTTATTTTGATATTTAAAAAGTGGACTTTAAAAAGAGACTTTTAAGATCGTACTACCCTGTTCTATATAATAAAAGTGATAATTTTATAAAAGCACAGTCATTTTAAATAGTACACTTTACTGCTTAAGTATTCTGCTGTGATTCAAAATGTTTTGTCAATCCACAAAAATCTTTTTTCCTTCTGAGAAGTAATGCAATGAGAATTAACCAAGATTTTCTTGTATATTATAATTAAGCTTATTGAAATGGTTTCTACTTTTTCACGATAGGGAATAAAGCAGTATTAAAAGGAATCAAAGAAAGCAGGGTAAAGTGGCCGGGAAGTCAGTCTTGAGGTCCAGAAGACCTAGATTTTTGCCCCCCCTTCTGACCCATACTGGTTGTGTGACCCTGAGCAAGTCCCTTAAGCTCTCATCGACCATGGCAGCTCTCAGGCCTAGAGCTTACAACCAGTTACTGAGCTGCATTGGTTAAGGGTGTTTCCTCTGCCACTGCAATCTCCTTCACTCCCACCCCTCCATGAGAGAATATTATTAAATGATCCATGATATTATTCCATTCTGTACTTTTGTTTACATTTCATTGTTTGAACAAAAAAACATACTGCAGAAATGACACTTTAAAATTAGGGATGAAACAGCACTCAGCTAGTGATAAATGTTGGTGTTGAGATAGATTCAAACATAAAATCACATCTTCCTCCAGTGGCTGATTGTGGCTTAAAGGTGACCTTGGGTTTTCACAGGTTATGCTGACACAGTGGGTCCTCTGGGAGGTTAGATCACGCAGGCCATATTAGGGGGTCAGACTCTGTGTTCTGTGGATGGACCTGGCTGAGTCTGGATCTAGGCCTGTCACCAGGGAGGCTGCATGGGAGCTGTGTTTTCAGCCTCGCCAAGCTCTCTGAGACGGTCTGCCCGTGGGGGAGAAGCTGCAGCCTGCCTAGGGGTGAGGGAGTCCCCTACTGATGATGTTCTGGATTAGGGCAGGAGAGAAAGGGAGCCTAGACTGGAGCAGGAGGCAGTGCTCTTTTCTGAGGTTGTACATACTTGGACTGTTTTAAGAGAAACGTTGTTTTTCCTGTTAATATTTTAGGTAGACCAGTTTATACTTATGAACATAAATTAATTTTTACTAATTCTTATTGAGGCCTCTTCATCCTATTTATTTGAGCTTGCTATTGATTGCATTTGGGAGTGCTGTGTGTGGATGGCAGAGGAATGTATTCTCTTACTGAATATTAACAGCATGCCCGAAAGCTAGTACGTGGACCCACGTGTTCTTTCTCCTATTGAAGAAAAGGAGGGTAAGAGGGGAGGGAGGGTGCAACGGTAGCAGGAACTAAGTGTTACAGCTCTTCTCCTTTAATGAGAGAGAGAGAGAGGAAAACTTCAGTAAAAATATATAACTTACAGGAAGAAATTCATGCCGATTTTTTTATTTCAGGGGAGCAAAGTACAAACACGAGTTGGGTTATTAATGTTGCTTTGTACCTGGTTAAGCAACTGTCCTATTGCTGTCACACACTTTCTCCACAATTCCGCCAATATTCCATTTGTATCCTTTGTTTGTTTTAGATAGCTTAGAGGGACAGTTTAACTTTCATTTTCTTTTAGAAGTAGCGCTAGGCTCTAAATTTGCCTATGTCACTTCAGCTGTGCTAAGACTCATGTAAGTATTAGGGGAGTGTTTTCTGCATAGGCAATACCATGAAGCATTTCTGATGAAATATCACTAAATTCTGACGCAGGAGACAGTAGTATTCGTTTGTACAACTCATCCAAACTGGCTTCGTACACATGCCGTTTATAAAGAATTCTCAAAAGGAGATTCTTTCAAGGAATGTGTAATCATTTTGTGAATAGCGAAACAGCATGCATTGGGCATATGATAAAGTTTGTCGTCCTCCTTAACAAGAGTCTCAGCTTACAGCACAAATAGCAGAAAATCTTGGAGAAGAGGAGCAGTTGGTTCAAGGCTTATGTGCCCTCTTGTTGGGCATTTGCATTTATTTCAATGATAATTCACTTGAGAACTATATGAAGTAAGTAGGGGGAAGAGTCACACTTCTCAGTGCTATGCACAGAAGCAGTCGTCCGAGCTCTCATGGTTAACGAAAACAAGCGTAGCCGAACAGTTTGGCACATGCAGTCCTCAGACTAACAAAGTCCCACGGCAGTTAAGTGTGTGTCCTCCCTCATGTGGTGGCAGAGACCTTGTCTCATTTAAAATTTGTCCCTCCTCAGCACCTAACACAGCGCTGTGCACATAGTCGGAGCTGAATAAAAGTTTGTTGAACCAAAACTGCTATGAATTAGCACATGTTTATTAAGTGCCTACTGTGTGCCACACTCTCTGCCAAGTGCTAAGGATACACAGAAAGGCAGGACAGCCACTGCCTTCAAGGAACTCACAGCACGAAGGAGACAGCATGCAAACAACCTATCTACACAGGAGATACATACAGGCTAAGTAGGAAATGATCGGCGGAAGGAAGGTCCTGGAATTCAGGGGGAGCAGTGTGCAGAGGCAGAGAGTTGGGGTGTGGAGTATTGTGTGTAAGAAACCAAGAAAGCCTTTTTGGGCAGTAGAGTACAGAAAGAGAAGTAATATCTAATGAGGTGGGAAAGATAAGTTGGGACCAGATGGTGAAAGGTTTTTAAAGCTGGGGGACTTCGCAGTTTATCTTAGAGGCAGTAAAGAGCTGCAGGAGTTACGGTGTAGCGGAGTGACAAGGACACAGCCAGGCTGAGGATAACCAGTTGGGCAGGTGTGTGGAGGAGGGACTGGAGCAAGAAGAATCTTGAGGCAGTGGGACCAAATAGCAGGCCATTGCCTTGGTCTGGCCGTAGAGATGAATGCCTCAGCCTATCAGGGATTGGATGTGTGTAGAGAGAAAAGATCAGGTGTGAGAGGTGGTGTAGAGGTAGTGATCTAGTCAGGACGTGGAGATATACCTAGTTACAAGTCTAGAAATTGGAAGGATGGTGGTTCCCAGCACTACCATCAGACAGACAGACACTATTGGACAGAAATAGGGATATTTGGGAGAGAGGGAGAGGTAAGAGAGTTCTGTTTTGGATATGTTGAGTTGCAGATGTCTCTAGGCCATCTACATTGAACATCCGATAAGAAGTTGGTGATGCTGCACAGACAATCAGCAGGCATTTCTGAAGTGTTTACTAAAGCATTAGGTAGTGGGATACAGATATAAAGGAGGAAGCTATTCTCCAGGAAATGCTATTCTAAAATTAGGGTTGAGTATATGGAGTCATCTGCCTAGACATGATAATTAAGCCTATGAGAGCTGATGAATTCAGCAAGAGAGTTTAGAGAGGGAAGAGAAAGCCTAAGACAGAGCTTTGGGAAGCCTAAGATAGAGCTTAGGGGAACAATCAGAAAGGTCAGGCAGGTAGGAGAATGAGGAGAGAATCCAGAAGGCCAGAGTGGTCTTCAGTGTCTGCTGTAATGGAAAGGTTGGGAATAACAAACTGAGAAAAGGCTGTCAGACTGTGCAGTCTAGAGATCATTGGCAACTTTGGAGAGAACAGTTTCAGTTGAGTGATGAGGTCAGAAGCCAAATTGCGAAGGACTGAATAGTGAGAGAGAGGAAAGAAAAAAGTAGAGGCCTTGGATGTATTGGCTTCTACAAATTTAGATAAGAAAGGAAAGAGAGAGAATGATAGATGGAGGTGCTAGTAGGATCCAGTGAAAATTTTTTAAGGATTTAGGAAGACTTGAACATGTCTGAACTCATTAAGGCAGTAGCCAATACGTAGGCAGAGATTGAAGGGGAAATCTGCTGAAGAAAATGGAAGGAAAATGGGGTCACGGGCATGTCTAGAGAGGAAAGGTTTCATTAGAGGCTAAAAGAAAGGAAGAGACAGAGGATAATGTCCAGGGCTTTTGAGATAAAGAAGAGGACAACAGAGAGGTCATGGCAAATGTACTCTATTTTCTCGTGGTATAAGAGCTCAGGACCGTAAGTGAGAGGGTGAGGCACACGGAAAGGAGCAGCAGCTTCTGTGAGGCTGGGATCAGTGAAGAGTGCTGCCTCGTGCAGGGAGGGCCCCTTGAGATAGAGTCCCATAATAAAGAAGTCATTGGGAAATGAAAATAGTGTTTTCCACCAAAGTCTAATTTAAGCATTTAGCATTTGAACTGCTGATGATTTTTTAATACGTCTGTATACGTCTGCCTTTTTTCTTTCTTTCTTTTTTTCTTTTTAGAGAGAAACTGAAACAACTCATCGAGAAGAGAATTGGCAAAGAGAACTTCATAGAGAAGCTGGGTTTCATTAGCAAGCATGAGCTATACTCGAGAGCTGCCCAGAAACCTCAGCCCAGTTTTTCTAGCCCAGACCACATGATGTTTGATCATGAGTTTACAAAGTTAGTGAAAGAACTTGAAGGTGAGATACATCGAATGGAGACAGTGTATTTGAAAAGTAATTAGAATACAGAAGTACCCACCGAACCTGTTCAAAAGACGTAACGAACGCCAGAAGGGCATCGTTCTGGTTCAGTCTGGCTAGTGCAGAGGGTGTTATCGGGCAGGAACGTGTTTGCGCTTTCATTGATAGATGATGCATGGCTATCGAAATCTTATTTACAAAGTCTGAAAGATTTAACTGGAAGCCTTTTTTGCAGGTGTCATAACAAAGTCCATTTATAAGTCTAGTGAAGAAGATAAAAAGGAGGAAGAGGTGAAGAAAACTTTGGAGCAACACGACAGCATTGTCACTCACTACAAAAATGTGATCCGAGAGCAGGTACGTGCCAGGGCAGGTGTCCTCTGGCCTGCTGGCCTGTCGGGTTTAGGGCAGAATCCCTTGGGGAGGATTCAGGCGGAGTGTTGTAAATTATCTGATGTGCTGGGATGCAAACTCACCTCAATTCTGATTAACCAGAACCCCTTAGGATTTGTCCAGGCAGGCTCAGAACTGACATTTCTTTTATAGGCTCCTAGTAAAAAATGTCATTTATAAAGGTCCAGCATTAATTGCAACTTATTATTGCGCGTTTAATCCAGGGGTTCTTAATGTTTTTTGTGTCTTAGATCCTTTGGCAGTGCCTGTGCAGTCTATGGACCCTTCTCAGAATTATGGTTTTTAAGTACACAGAATAATACGTACGATTGAAAACCAGTTACGTTGAAACAGCTATCAAAATATTAAAAAGACAAGTTCACGGACCCTAAGTTAAGAGCCTGATTTACATGAACATTTTCCTCAAAATTACATGAACAATTTTTCATTTCCCCCTTCTTTTATTTTTAAACTCAGGTTACACATTGGAAGAAATGATAGAATTGATGTGTGGTAGATAGCGGTAAGGTCCAGGCAGCACCTTTCCATTGGGATAGCTCATGGTCTTGGAAGAGGTGCTGTAATGTACAAAGATGTATTTTAAATCTTGATTTTTCCTGTTGAAACAGACTTAAGAGCATCCCTGCTGCCGCATTTTTAATCGAAATTGTTCAAACAGACTACAGTTCAACAGACATCTGTTATCAAGCACCTACTGTATTCAGAACACTGTGCTAGGTATTTGGGGGTGATAGAAAATCCGAATTAGACGCACCTCTGTCATGAAAACTACCTCCAGATTCCTGGCCTAGTCGATAAGCCCTTAAATCTAGGTCAGAGAGGGGCCTTGAGGCTGTTTGTCAAACCTTCTCACCCGCACGTGAGCAAACAGCCGCAGGAGAAGGTGAGGTTGTTTTCCCAACGTCCCACTCACGGAGCAGGCATCTGAGGTGGGAGCTGAAGCCTAGTTCTGCTGCTCTGGTGTTCTGTTCATCCCACTGCTGCACTGGCTTCTCTTTTTACTGCAGTAAATTAGGAAGTGAAAGGGTCTCTTCATTGTGGTTGCAGATCAGAAGATGAGCTAGGGCATGGGGGGATTGGGGAAGCAGATTTATATCGGTATCATGGCGAGACTTTATAACCTGCTGAGGAGTTGCTGGATTTCTTGTTGTTGAGAAGCTGAGTGTTCTTTCGGGCAACAAGGTGGCGCCATAGATAGAGTACTGGCCCTGAAGTCAGGAGGACCAGAGTTCAAATCCAGCCTCAGACATTTGACACTTACTAGCTGTGTGACCCTGGGCAAGTCACTTAACCCCAATTGCCTTGGAAAAAAAAAGAGAGAGAGAAGCTGATCTAGGTAGGTTTGGCAAGTTTCGTAATGTGAATTCCCTATAGCACAAGCATAGATATAAGAGAGGGCAGGACCTATTCCTCCCCTTCGACTGGGTTGTGTGCTGGTTGCCATAAATACCACCTCAAAACAGATGTAGACAGAGCTGTCTAGGCATTTAAATTCCTACAAGTCAGATCATTCTATGTTTAAGACTATTTGCATATAACTTTTTTGGCACTTTTGACACCCTGCCCTCCACACCCCCCAGGTATGAAATCAAATGAATATAATGTTTGAGGTTCAGACTTTACATTTTCAGTAGTTTTCCATAAATCAAATTAATTAGAATTTTCTTTAGATAATGCTGATTTGGTCCAGCAATCTTCAAACAATGAGATTACAGAAGTGAAAAAATATTTCTCCCTTTATTGCACATCATGAAGTATTCTTTGGTGCCAGATAACTACCTTAGGACAGGGGAGAAGAGATTCTTGGATTGTAATGTATAACCTATACTTGGAGGTAGTAAGTAATTGATTAGAGAGAACAAAATGACATTTTATATATTTCTAATCAGCAAAACAAAATTGAAAAAATTATAAATTATTCATTTTAACAATTTGTTAGGCATTAAAATATTAGCTTTATTTTTTAAAGTTGTAGTGAAATTAGAGGCTATCACAGTGCTTATTAATAGAATCACATGGATACCGTACACATAGGGATTGTTAATTAGCATTGTGTTGTGTTTTAAAGTGTTATTTCTTACTTATCAAATGTTTGTGAGTATTGAACCATTCATCCTCCCGAATGAGGGGCTGGTGTTGCACTGATGGCCTGCATCAACATCTCACACACATGATCTAGTGAACACATGTTGTGAAATAGCTAGTTCTTCATGGACTAGGGTGAAACTATGATCTATGACTGTAAAGGAATGAGAATGATTTCTCATGTGGCTTAGAGTCATAAATGTCAAAATTGGAAACGGAGATCATTTGGTCTAGCCCCTTTGGAACAGCAATCCCCTCTGCATAATCCCCAGACAGGTGGTGATCTGCTTTCACTCCTGGGATGGCAGAACGGACCTCTTGGGGCCACTCAATTATTCGTATATGACTGCTTTTCTCCTTCCAAAAGGGGAAATTTTTCCTTCTATCAGACTGAAATCGTATCCCAAAAACTTCTTCCTAATTGTGCTCCTTAGAGGCCAAGCAAAGCAAGCATAATTTCTCTTTTGCATTTTCTCACAGAATCCAAAGGCTTGAGTTAAATTTGACCCAACAATGCTTTTCTTAAACACCTCTTATGTGGAAAGTATTGAGTCAGATGTTACAGCACTGACTGACCTGTAAGGAGCTGCAGCCGGTGGGGAGGAGAGTCAGGGAGGGATACTACACAGGTGTGGACATACATATGTGCAAATGAGCATACCCATACAATACACTGTGGGCTTCCATCAAGGGGATTGCCAGTTGTAATTCCAACTTCACGCCACCTCGTAGAAATGGTTGGCTTGGGGACTGGATGCAGCAATACATACATTCTCTTGACAGACATGCTTTTTACTTTTGTTCCATAGGATTGCCAGCTTGAGGAATTAAGACAACAGGTTTCTACCCTAAAATGTCAAAATGAACAGCTGCAGACAGCCGTCACACAGCAAGTGTCTCAGATCCAGCAGCACAAGGACCAGTATAATCTCCTCAAAGTCCAGCTAGGTACCACGATCCCACTTGAGTGCTGGGTCAGGGTGTATGCATTGTATGTGCACAATGCTTTCTGTGTAGGTATCCACGCCCATTGATTTCAGATCGCTGACTGAGTCACAGAACAGGGGATCGGCCTTCTTTAAAATGAAAGTCTTGGGAATGGGGAGACTGTGTCTTGTGTTTTCATCAGAGTAGGGAATTCCCTGTGAGCAAGTGCCCCCCTCGGAGTTTGGCAGTATTTTACAATTTCACGATTCCGAGAGTTGCTTTGGGCAACCAAAAATATTCATTAAGTACCTGTCATTGTAAGGTACTGTCCTCCAGCCTCAAACCCTGTGTGTGATTCTGTAATATGATGAAGTACTGAGAAGTCTTAGAAGAGAAATGAGAAAGATTTGAGGAGAGGGAGGCGGTTTTTGCTGTGGAATCAAGGAAATGTGGAAACATGAAGAGTGGTGTTAGTAGTTGGAAATATGAAGGAAATCTTGTAGACAGATGAGAAAAGATGCTCCGAGGTGAGAGAAAATAGGGCACCGTAAAGGAAGAGTGAGCAGTCCAATGTGGCAGGCATATAAAAGGCACAGAATAAGCCAGAAAGGGTAGGTTGGAGCCAGCTGTGGAAAGCCTTCATTGCCAGCCCAGAGAGTTTGCATTTCACTTCGTAGGAGTAGCTGCTGAAGGTATTTAAGTAGACAGAGTGATATGATCGGACTGTCCGCCAGGACGAGTATTTTGGTAGCCTTGTCAAGGCTGTCTTCAGAGACCCACTCACCAGACGGCGGAGGCAGCAATTCCAGTAGTCAGAGGAAGAGGGAATGAGCTCCTGAGCTGGCTTGGTAAAAGTAGCAGTAGAAATCTGTAAGGAGACAAACACAAGAGATACTTTAGAGGCGGATCTATAGGACTCAGTGGCTTGTTGGATTGGGGAGAGATGATGTGGGGAAGAGGGAAGAGCCGGGAATGATTCCAGAGGGGAATCAGCTTGGGGGAGGGGAGCAGGAGAGGACTAGGAGTCCTGCTTTCTGTATGTTGGCTTTACCTTGTAGGTGGGATATCTGTTGAGGTGTCCGTCAGACGATTTGGAAATGAAGAAGGAGAGGTTGTACGGGAACAATTGGAGCTGGAGATGATAATTGGAGTGGATGAGTTTTTAGGCCACTATTTTCTTTGCCAAGAATAATAATCTTAGGACTGAGGAAAATAGGACAAAAATTTTTACAGGGGAAATGAAACCCAGAGATTTAAGATTATAAGAGAGTAACCAGCTGCCGTGCTACAACTGTAGAAACACTTAGCAAGTTACTATCAGTGACCTTTGAAAAACCATCAAGAATGGGGCAGCTAGGTGGCGCAGTGGATAGAGCACCCGCCCTGGATTCAGGAGGACCTGAGTTCAAATCTGGCCTCACACACGTAACACTTACTAGCTGTGTGACCCTGGGCAAGTCACTTAACCCCACTGCCTAGCCAAAAAAAGAATCATCAGCAAATAATTGTCCCTGTCTTCCAAAACTATAGCTAGTGAACCTGACTATAATTCCAACGAGATTTCTAGAATGTGGTATTAAAGAGATTGTTTGTAAACATTTAAAAAACTGAGGGGTAATCACTAGGAACCTACAGTTCATTTAAAACAGGTCATGCTAAATTAATGTCATTTCTTAATTTGATAGAATTATTAGAGTAGTCAGGAAATGTCATCGATACAGTGTACATTTGGCAAAGTATTATATTGTGGAGAGGATAGAGTATTGTGGTTGAGGTGATGATAATGTAATTTAGTAGATTTGGTAATGGACTGACCAGAGACAAGAAGTAGTGATCAGTCTTGTAAATGTTTATTTTGTGATTAAATTATCACATTACATACAGTAAAACCTCTGATAGTTGGTACCGTACAGGAGACGCAATTATCTAGCTCTGGTAGGACACACACAGGCTTTTACCTTTGCTTTGATGTACATAATTTGATATAACTGAAGTGTTATATAACTTTTATCAAATTTCATGCTTATCTAATAGGAAAAGACAATCAGCATCATGGTTCTCAGAGTGATGGAGCTCAGGTGAACGGCATTCAGCCAGAAGAGATTAGCAGGTTGAAAGAAGAGGTAAAAGAATTAAAAAATAAGCAAGAACTTTTACAAGGCCAGTTGACTGAAAAGGACTCCTTGATTGAAAATTTGGTAAGATATGAACATTCAGAGTACTAAATTATAAAAAACAAAGTTTGCTAGTCCTTCTTTTAATTTTACTGTGACTGCTTCTTTATCCTTCTCATATGACTTTACATATCGCTTTAGTAAACTTAATAACAAGCTTGTTCCTTCCAAGATATAGACATATCTTGTCTGTATGATCTATATTAGTCTCACAGGAGTTGCAAGTCATATGTACTAAAATGAGAGGAAATAGCTGGTCTTGTTATTTCTTAAATTGATCATTTATAGAGTGATTTTCCATATCATTTAAATGAAATATATCTGATGTGTCTAGATTTATATTTCCAAATATTCCACTGCTCTAGAGTAGGACAAAATATAATGTTATACACAAAAGTGATTTATTCAGAATCCAAAATCATCCATTCTTTCTGGACACTCGTGGCCCAGAGTGATTCCATAGTCAAATCGCTAATTCCAGAGTTGGGCCTAGAATCCAGGTTTTCTTAGGGCTGAAAGAGTATCCAGACTTCTTTGTATCTTACTGACTGTCCCTGTGGCTTAGTTTCCTGGTGTGTTTCTTTGTTCTTGTAGAAGGCTGCCCAGTTAGCGCCTGGGAAAACGGAACAGTCTCCAGAGGCTTCTCTGGATGGCGATCCTGAGCAGAACACCAAGCTGCAGTGGGTAAGTGTGTGCTTTCTCCTCCTTGTTCTTAATTAGAATGATTGAATAATCTGAATAGTCATCAATCTGATTTTTCTTTAGATGGCAATCAAAACTTGTGGCCAAATATTTGTCTTTAATTTTTGATACTTTTTAGAACTCCTTATAAGTATTACCGTTTTTCTTTAGTTTCCTTTGCTAAAAAAAAGATGCTAATCTCTATCCTGATTGATTCCCAGACCGTGAAATAGCAATTAAAAGAAAATTTTAAAAGAAACCAAGTGCTTGGCATGGCTTTGTTACCAATGGCTTATGTTAAGATGTAAACTTTGCCTAATTTTCATGACCAATGTTTCGTTACTATTACTTGGTGGGGGAAAAAAAATCTTGGTAAACAATTTATTTGTGCCACGTGTTTCATCTTGTCTCAAAAAAAATTGCTTCTTAAGTACATGCAAGGGAGAAGTAAATGAAATGACAGACTTGTCAATATTTCAGACAGATGCCTGTTTGAAATAATAAACTTTTTTTTTTAATAAATGTATTATTTTATAAAAATTTTTTTCCTTTTTCTGGGATCTTCTTTGACTGGAAATTCCTATCAAAATGGATAATTCTGCTTCAGCGTTTTAGTTATTAAGTATATTGTTTTTCTGATTCTGCTTATTTCATTTCCATATAGTTGTGTGCTTCTGTGAATTTCTTAATGCCCATTGTATCTTATGAAGCCATTATTGTCCATTACTTTCATGTACCACAGTTATTTTAGCTGTTCTCTAAGTGATGGGCAGCTACTTCCTTTCCAGTTCTTTGCTATCACAAAAAAATGCTGCTGTAAGTATTTTCACGTATACAGGATCTTCCTTTTTGTCTTTGGCTTCCTTTTAAAATGTCCAGCAATGGGATCTCTTTGTCAGAGTATGGACAGTTTGCTTTTTAAAGCATAATTCCAAATTGCTCTCCAGCATGGTTGGATCACTTCACATCTCCACTGAAACATTAATGTGCCTGTCTTCCTCAGCCCCCATTTCTGTCTTTTGTCCTCATAGTTAATTGGCTGGGAAGCCACAGTTATATTAATTCACATTTTTCTTATTATTAGTGATTTAGAACAAGATTTCACATGGTTGTTAATAATTTATAGTTCTTTTAGAATATTTATTCATGTTCTTTGATGATCGAATTATCCATAAGGGAATAGCTTTTTGTCTGCTTATTTGTGTTATCCCTAGGTATCTTAGCTGCCAGACCCCTACCAAAGAGTCTTTGATGCAAAGATTATTTTTCCACCTGACCTTTGCTTCTTATCCCACCTAGATGCCTTGGTGGTTTTGTTTCATTCAACAGCCTTTTAATAAAGTGAATGCAATTACTTTTTTCATTTGTGATCTTTTCTATCTCTTGTTTGGTTAAAAGGCATCCTCTTAATTTATTTTATGGTGTCACCTTTTATATTCTGGTTTCTTTCCATTTTGGCCTCGTTGTGCTATATGTTATAAGGATATTTGCTTAAATACAATTTCTGTCAAACTGCTTTTCTGTTTTCTTAGCAGTTCTTGTCACATAGGAGGTTCTTCCCTGGGTCGTCTGTGTTAGCAGGTTTATCACATTTACCAGGCTGTTGAATTTTATTATTTCTGATTCCTACCCGTCTAGTCTGTTCCACTGATTACTTTTCACTTTTGTAACTAGTACTAAGCAGTTTGGGTTACTGTAATTTGTGTCTTGGTAATGTATTTTGAGGTCTGGAATTCCTCCGTTATTCCTTCCTATTCCTCCTTCATTCTTACTTTTTTCACTATTTCTCTGAGTATTCTACCCTGTATTCCACCAGACTGATTTTGTCTAACCCTATCAAGAGCTTTCTAATTTGGTTGGTGTGGCATTAGTTCTATAAGTTAATCCAGGTAGCATGGTTATTTTCATTGCAGTGGTGTGGGTCAACCTAGAGCAGTGAATGTCCCTCCCGTTATTTGTCACATCTTGTTGTGATGAGTGTTCTGCAGTGACGTTTACGTAGCTTTGATGTGTCTCGGTAGGTTAACTCACAGATATTTTTATTAATATAATATATTGTTAACATAATTGTCACATAAAGAAATCCTGGTGATTTTGTGGATTTCATTTTTAAGCTGATATTTGACCAAAGCTTTTAGTTGTCTGAGTTTCTTTGCTGGTTCTCTGTAGTTTTCTAAATAAATATAAAATGGTTTTTGCCACTTTTGTCTCTGAAGGAAGCTGAAACACTCAGGGCTCAGTTAAACTTGCAGTCTGGAGATCTCTAAACTACAGATGGAAAAGCAGGAGCTATTACAGAAAACTGAAACATTTCTAAGTTTCTTTTGTTTTCTTTATCCAGAAATAGCAAAGCTAGGGCACAAATAGCTGGCCTGCTTTAGGATGGTCAGCATATCTGTTCTCTTGTCTTAAGGTGAAGCTCCCAGTGACCTGCAGAATCTTGGTAGTAATTCATCAGTTGGAGTCCCTCCCCACCCTCTCCTTACTGACCTGAGGTGCTATGGTACGACAGAAAGAGCCCAGGTTATAGCCAAAGGCCCTGATCTGTCGTTCTCTGAGACCCACTGGACCCTCACATCCTTGTCTCTCAAAAGAAGGTCCCTGAGAGCCCTTGTAGCTCTGCATCTGTGATCTGGTGTTTCAGGCACTATTAGAGCACACTTCTAACTCAAAAAAACTTGGGTCCTTCATTGTCTTAGGCGTATCTGCACTGCCCTGTTCCCTGGTTCATGATACTCTGGGCTTTAGGCTCCTCCTCAAGGGTCCTTCTTTTATAAAACAGTATTTGGTTTGCAGGGGAATCCTTCGGAGAGCTGTTTTATCCAATCTTAGAAACTAAATTTCAACTCCAAAATGAAATAGAAACTATATGTCTAGGAGTCTGGGCTTTTATATTGCTAGCTTGACTTTTTTTTAACTCAGTTTCTGCTTCTTAGGCTAAATCCATTCCAGTATCAGGAGACAATGGCACCGTGACGACGGCAAAGCCCACCGACGTGGAGGGCAGGCTCTCTGCGCTGGTGCAGGAGACTAAGGAGTTAAAGGTTGGTGGTGTCACATCCACGCCTCCTGCACAGCATTTTAAAAGATGACATGGAGTGTGTTCAGAACTTTATTTCACGTGGGTGAGAAAGTAAACTGAAAAGTAGGAGGAAGCCATGTAGTTGTTGTTAGTATTTCTGGTGCAATGAACGGTTTGCCGTTTTGGCCTGCTTTTTGTTTTCATTTATTTATTTATTTATTTATTTATTTTTTAGGCAGTCGGGGTTAAGTAACTTGCCCATGCTCACATAGCTTGTAAGTGTAAAGTGTTTGGTCTGAGGCTGGATTTGAACTCAGGTACTCCTGACTTCAGGCCCAGTTCTCTACCCGCTGTGCCACCTAGCTGCCCCCTGGCCTGCTTTTTAATGTAATCTCTAGCTCTGTTGATATTGCAATTCAAGCTTTTAAAAATTATTTTCTTGATGATGGCATATAAATGCTTTACATGTAAAAGACATTTTTTAAAAAATTTTTTAATTTTTTGCTTGTTGGTGAGGCGATTGGGGTTAAGTGACTCGCCCAAGGTCACACAGCTAGTAAGTGTTAAGTGTCTAAGGCTGGATTTGAACTCAGGTCCTCCTGGCTCCAAGGCCAGAGCTCTATTCACTGCGCCACCTAGCTGCCCCTACATTTTTTTTTTTTTTTTAAAGTAATTTTGTGTGTTGAAGAACCAATCTGCAAGGCTGAACTGGACGCAGTGGGTTTGAATGAAAAGACCATTTCCTCACATGCTGCCCCGTGTGAGTGTTCTCTTCAGGTTAGTAACTTGAACGTTTCTGTTGTCAGAATGAAGTTAAAGCTCTGTCTGAGGAGAAGGCGTCCATAAAACAGCAGTTGGATTCATCAAACAGCACCATTGCGATCTTACAGAATGAGAAAAGCAAGCTGCAGCTGGGGCTTGCAAAATCTAGCAAAGAACAGGATGACCTGTTGGTGCTGCTGGCTGATCAGGATCAGAAAATAATTTCACTCAAAAGCAAACTCAAGGAACTCGGTCACCCGGTGAGGCCACAGATTTTTGCAGAATTTATCCTTGCAAAGATTTTGCTCTCCAGTTTGTATCTCACTGCATGCTCAGTTTCACATTTCTTCATAAGGTGCTTAGAACCATTTTTTCTTGAAGGTGCTGACCGTATCATGAAGATGGGCCTGGAATATAATTTCTTTGATATTTTTATTATGTTTTAGAAATTTAAACCTTCTGTAGGAATGCTCATATCCCTGCATTAAAAGTATTGTTTTTGTTAAGGATTTGTTTCACTCTCTTGCATGCACTCAAACTTTGATATTTTATTTCTAGTGACATGAATTAGTTTGGCTACTCTTATGTTAGCAGGAGCCACTCATTGGAGAATAAGAAGATGCTACCATTTTTTAGTTTCTGTTCAGATTCTCATGATGGTTTCTATTATGTGAGAGTAGCTATCTGTTAGATTTTCCCGCAGATTATTTTCCACAAGTTGCGTAAGTCATTAGGACAAAGAAGTAAAGAGCTTTATCTGTATGCTGAAGTTCCAAATTTCAAGATAAGCAGGGCATTTGGAACGGCCTTCTTTGGCCAAGAAATGAAGTTTTTCATATTACTTGGTTAAGCTAAGTGGAAGTTCTTTTTTCCATTTAGGTTGAAGATGAAGATGAAGATGAACTTGGATCTGGAGACCAGACTGGAAACGATGACATTGATGATGACGTCGATGACGATGACGACGACGATGATGATGAAGATGATGATGACAACAGTGACGATGAAGACAATCGTCATAATGCTAATGAAATAGTGGAGGGGTCAGCCTAAGCTTTAAAGTGTCTCTAGAAGTAATAGAGATTACTATGTAACTTTTAAGACAGAGCCTCAAAGACAATACTTTGGTCTTTCTTCACACATAATAAAGATTTTTAGGAAGCAAATGGAAAGCATTCACTAAAAGACTATTGCCGTGTTTCTGAAATGAAGCCACCCATGGTTTTTTTTTTGTTTTTTTGTTGTTAAAGAAAAAGGCCTAGGTATGGGTAAAACACACAACTGTGTTTTATTTAAGTTCTTTTGAACTCTTTTAGAAGATGACCATCTCTTAGCTTTAGACACCAAAAATGTACCATTCAAAGCATGAGGTAGCCGTACAATTTGCCTTCGTTCTTTGGTCATTTACAGAAGTCTCTGCATCTATCTTTTTATTTTGAAACTTGTGAATTTAAGTGCTTATGTATTTGATTTAACATGTTGAATTGGGCTCTTTGCCTTCTTAGTCAGCATTGGTAATACTCTAAACCCATGGGTTCTTTTAAGAGATGTGCAGGTTTAAGAGCAGGAGCAGGGTAATTTTGGGGAAATGGTCGGTTCGTTCACAGTGACTCCCCAGATAAATACGTTGAACAGTGTAGAGGGAGGGCCTTTGCAGCTAGAGTAATTGCAAAGAGACAAAGGAGCCTGAGCACGAGGATGCAGAGGCACGTCTGCGGAAACCGCAGGGCTGGGAAGCAGAACACCTCACATAAAAACAACCCCTCATAATTCCCACAGTGCAAGTTTAACGTGTTAGCTGGTTGTCAGGACCAGCCCCGTGTTCTTGAGTTGAAAAAAAAACATAAGAGCCCACCACTCTGATTGATGTAATTTATTGGCTTTTACTCAAGGAGGCATCTTGGGACAGGGGCTGGGTCTGATTCTTCTGGCTGTCTCCTAGCACCTCATCCAGTGCCTGCACTCAACAGGCAGTCGAGGGATGCTTGTTGAATTGAATTAATGTTGAAGTAGGTTTGACCAGTATAAAAGTTTTAAAAGAGTGCAATAAAAAGATGTCAAATCTCATGTTTTGGTAATAAAAATAGATATTATGTTCACTTAAATCCATAGTCATTTGTTTTATCATTGGTTCCCTTTAGATTTTGAGCAGCAGTGTATTTATTTTTCATGGTTGAGTCAAAATTCCTACCTGTGTTTTTATATGAAATCATGACAAAAGGCATTCTTCCAGCTCTTCCTGGGTGCCTTCAGGAAGCTTTTCCTGATACCCTCCTAGTTGCTAATGCTTGCTTCCTCCTCAGATAGTCTTGATTTCCTTAGCTCTTTGCAAGGCCTAACTCTTCAGAGAGGGGAGTAATTGCTCCTTGTGTTCCCGGGGCTTAGGCTGCTGCTTTGCATGTGGGAGGTACTTAACAAGTGTTGACTAAATTAATCTGTTGTTAACCTCGTGGGGTAGAAGCACGTGCACATCTTTGTCTCTTTTTTCTCTTCCTTCCTTTTTTTCTACCCAGTGGGAAGGGAAGAAAGGCTGGCGATGAATTTGGAGATCCTAACCTCTATTAGAGAGATCACGGGAAACTGGAGTCTTAAGACCTTTCCATCAGAATCTGATAGTTTAATTCTCACTAGGTGCTGCCAGGACCCTCAGTTTAATTGGGAAAGTTTGTGGTTTGGCCCTTTCCAGCCATCCTTTCTCACCTCCTCTTTTACTTCCTGTCTATGCTTACCAGATGACTAATTCCCCCCTGTCAGTCCACCAATGCAGGAAGCTCCCCACCTCATCCCGGTCCACCCTCTCACCTCACGGTGCATGCTCCTTCCATCCCTAGTCAGAATTCCCATTTTTGAGTGCCATTGGCATTTAGGTGTTGGTTTTATGATGGCATTAAAGGTAATTTGCTCTCATAAATGAAGCTAAACCATCCAGTAGAACCAGAAACCAACAAGACATTGACATGAAAGTCATCAGGGATCCGTGTCAAGTCTTGTGCTTGATTTCCAAAAATTAGCTGTCCAGATACAAGTGGGGAGGCGTGCTTAGACAAGCCTTTGTCTGAAAAGGTCTGGAGGGAGGTTTTGGTGGACTTTGGGTCCAGTATGAGTCAGCAGGGTAATGTCAGGGCTGCACTAAGGAAGGAGTGGTTGCTTCTCTGCACTTTATCCTGGTCCAAACGCATGTAGAGGGTTAGGATTAGTTTAAGAAAATACAGCACCGTTTAAGAAAGATGGCAGCGAGGACGGGGAAGGGCCTTGAGTCTGTGCTACATGAGCGTCCGTTGACAGACTAGGTATGTTTGGTCTGACAAAGAGAAAACTCTGGAGGGAAATGTTAGCGATTGTCGTGTCCTCACCACATCTAGCTCCGGAAGAGGGCTGAGGCTCATTTTACTTGGCCGTAGTGGACAGATCGAAGAGCAAATAGGAGGAAGTTAAAAGAGGCAACGTTATTGGACTTGCTGTGGGGGAAAGGCTATTAATTATAGCTATTCAGAAGTGTAATGGATTGTTCTAAGAAACTGTGGTCATTCAGTTGTGATCATCAAATAGAGATTGGGTGGATGGGTTGATGGATGGCCAATTTTTATGTGGTAGTGGCAATTCTTTTCAGGTGTGAGCTGTGCAATGGCGTACAAATTAACTGGACAAAGTAAATTCAATACAGGTAACAAAAAACTTTTTTAATATGCAATATGCCCTTTTGGCACAATCACTAGTTTTACACAAGTTGGCGTCAAGGTCACAAGATTTTGACACATCCTTGAATCATCATGAAACTACATTTTTATCACGTTAGTTATTTAACACACAGCCCAATTTTTACAAGTGTCGCCTTGATTATAGAGCCTAACTTTTCAGTAGAATTTAAATCAGTTTTAGTTCTCGGGCACTAAGAGATTTACCTCCGTTTCTTGGAAAAATTGCGCTTTTTTGGTGATGCGTGGTGCACATGCGAACTTGGGTTTCAATAGTCCATTTCCACCTGGGAATTTCTGTAATTTTGAATAATTCTGTTCCTCAGTTTGCCAGTATCCCAGAGTTCAATTCATCTGAGTTCACTCTTCTCTAGACTGAGACAAGACTGCCAGGTCCATTGGGAGTAGAAAATATCCCCAAAACATTTTAGGCGGTTGTTTCATAGTCTATTGAAGATATCCTGATCTTACAGGTCCACTGTGACTTTTTCTGACAATAACATTGATAAAACCTTGAATGAGAAAGTGAATTTCCCCAGTGATCATTGCCTTTTTTCTAATCCTCCCTGCTCCAGTCAAAGTGTTGTCATGCTTTTGATGGGCATTTTTTCTTTATCATAATGGTTACCAGCTCTTTTTTCCTAGTCATTCTTAACTGTTTCCCCAGCTTTCTGAAGGGCTTTACTTCCCCCCCCCCACCCCCGAGGATTGATTAGTCTATTTTGCAGGAATAATTTGTCAGTTTGGAACATGGTTTATTGTTTTCAACCACATTTTCATTTCCACTTTGATGATCCAACTCTATTGTGGGTTTGAGTGATCCTTGAACCAATTACCTTCCCTGTGGCAATATCTCTTAATCATTGAAGTTTGTTCTCTAAGAACTACTTGTCCTCAAATAATATCTCTTTCTTAATAAGCACAACAGAGGATAACAAGGAAACATGGATGTATGCTACATCAGGAGAGGGATTAACTAAGGTGGGGAAACCAGCTCTAGTTGGTTTCCTCTTCTCAAGATAGCACATTCAGTCTGGTGCCGATAGGAGTTTACAGACGTGACCAATGTCGTCAGAAAATTAAACCCTATCAACATTTTTTCTTGTCCCAAGTACTTCTCGCAACATTGTTAGAAGGCAGCAGAGGACTCCTCTACCTATACAATTGTTACTACATTATAAACTTTGAGCTTACTACCACTAACAAATTCCTTAGCTATTTACAGTAGCCCACCCTCAGCCCTTTAACTAGGATGCCCAGTGAGTCACATGTGTGGGATTGACCTTGCAGTGTGATAATACCTACTTCTCCCACCCTACTCCTGTGTTCTTGCAATTCATTGGCCCCGACAGGGAGCACTCAGGAAAATAGGGTCATCTTTTGGTGGAAGAGCATAGATTGGCACAGGGAGCTCTGATTGGAAATTTGACTTTCTACGATTTGGTGAATTGATTTTCTTAGCTATTTGTTTTCCTTAGTTGTAAAATCTCTTGGGCAAAATAGAGAATTTCTGTGAGTAAATATTAGTTGTTTTTAAAAACTCATTAGCTTTCTGTTATGGCTTGATCAGGTTCCCAAATCACGATTTTATAAAAAATATCAGATCTGGCTAAAGATACCTTTTTCTGTTCTGTAGGGAAGGAATACACTTAAAAGGATCACCTGATGCTCTGCTGGGCCCAATCATAATTTCTGTCTTGTTTTTATTGATGTGGCTTGGAGAGTCGGCATGGCAGTGTGTAGAGAGCTGGTCTTGAAGTCAGGATGACCTCTTCCTACTAACACATACTAGGTCACTGACCCTGGTCAACTCAACCTAACCTCTCATTGCTCTCGTCAACTCCAAGACAAGGGTTCTTAAGCTATGTTATATCATCGACCCTTTCTGACAGGTTCGTGAAGCTTGTGGGTTCCTCAGAACCTTTAAATGCATAATGAACCTTCTTTAAATGCATAAAACAAAGTACATGGGATTGTCAAGGAAATCAGTTACATAGAAAGTAAAGATATATTTTTCCCCATCCAAGTTCATGGATCCGTTTAGATATTTATGAACCCCAGGTTAGGAATCCTTGCTCCTAGAATACAGATTGCAGAGCAAGATGCCAGTCTGAATTGGGAGAGGGCCATTTTTTTCACCAGGCATTCCTTTTACCAATGAAATCAGAAGTCTGGTTCCCCTTGCCCTCTACCCTTACAAAAAAAAATTTGTTTTTATATCACCTTACAAAATAATGTCCTCATCCTTCCCTTACGTAATGGGCCAACTCTTAACAAAGAAGAAAGAGAAGGGGGTTTTGAAAGCAGTACGGTCAAGCCAAGTACCATAGTATTAGTGCAGATTGGAACTCATCCATGCCTCATCTGGTATGATTCTTGTCCATGGCCTTCCATAAAGAGAGAAGCCGTTTTATGTCCTGGAGACCATCAGCTAATATCTGATGAGATATAGAGCGTCCCACTTCAGGCCCCCTGACCTCTGCAGAGAAGAGAGATGCATTTTTTTTAATCTCCTTTCTGGGATCAAGCTTGGTTCTTAGAATTATGCATTGCTGTTTCATTTTGTTGTTGTTTGAATCCATATTATACTTTGGTTTTCTGAATTCTGCCTGTTTTAGTCTGCATTCATGCATGTCTTCCCATGCTTCTTTGAGTTCATTTTCATTTCTTCTCACCATAGTACTGTTCTTTTATGTTTATTTTTTCTGTCATTGTTAGCTATTTCTTGATAACTCCCATAATTCCCATAATGGGAGATCAAAATCAAAACATCTTGCATTTACATTTTGTACTGCTGTTATACTAAAACCTGCTATGATGTCACTCGACAGTCAAGTGTAAGCTCTTTCTAGGAAGGAGGGAAAAACATTAGAAGCGGGGAGACTGAAGGACATTTTTTCCTCCTGAAATGAGACTTCCACGTAGCAAGAGCAAGGGAGAACTGATAACAGCCTGTATATTTAATTGGTGTCCACTCATGTCAAGACATCCGGAGGAAGGACATTGGATCCCCTATGTAGGATTTTGGGCAGGGCGTGGACAAGAGGTGAGAAGTATGACTTCCTGAAATGCTTTGCACACTGCTAGCATCTCCCTAGAAGGGACTGCTTCACCAGATTTGTTAGCATGAAAGGTAAGGAGGCTCTCTGTTATCCCTTATTGCAGTAGAACAACCCACCTTTTCTAATTTTCTACACCAATCGAGCCATCATTGGTCTATTTTCCAAGAAGTTCCTATCTTACTCAAAAGTAAGATGGATCATCACTTTCCAGGCCTTGGTGACTTAGGCAGGATCATTAGCAATTGACTGATAAAGTCCTGCTTGAGTACCTTTTGAATTAGCATGAAGGGAGATGACCCCACATATGCCAGTGAGGTGTAAGCTCGGGCAGATTCTACCAAGCTAAGA